CCTAAAAACATTAAAAGCGTTTAGCTGCAAAAATGACTCACAAAAGTATTTAATTCCTGGAGAGTTAGATTAAGAATGAAAGATTCACAAAAGCTCGAAAACTGTTTAATTAATTTAAATAAGCTAATACTTTATAATTACAGTTCCTTAAGCAGGGCACAAGAGTTATATGACTTTTGACCTTTAATAAATAGAATATTATGTTTATGTTTAAAGAAAATACATCTTTTAAAGTTTGTCTAATGGAAAAATCCTTCCAAGGTGCATCTGGATCGCAGCCAGGTTCTTTTGATGTATATATCTCTTGTAATAAAACAGCTGCAGCTTAATTGTTTGCGACTGAGTCGTAGTTGGAAATTTCCCTATGAAGGGATAACAAGAATAGTTTGTTCCCTATTTGTAAGAATTTATTCTCCTATAAATTTGCTTAATTTTAAACCACCAAGGAATGTGGTGTTTTATCAAACACCTCTGGACCCTTATAATCCATAAGCACGCCTTTATAAGAAGTTTAATCTTAACAAACTAAAAGTCCACTGCTCTGTGGGGGCAACGGTTCGACTCCCAAACGCAGATAAATAGTTCAGTAATCCGGAGGTCCTGAACAACTTGTTCGCGAAGAAGGCGTGGGTTGGAGGAAGAGGGGATAAAGGGAAAGGTGTCAAACCTGTGTACCCTTGTTACGAATCAATCTCACTCAACTGGAGATAACCCCTTTTTGAAGTTGCAGTTCTAGTTGTAATCTTTATGCTTATCATAGTATTCAGAAAAGAAGCTGAAAGCAAATATTAGGTCTTTTAATATAACCTTTCTCTCAAAAGTGGTATTTAAAATCAAAAATAAAACAAAATTGAATATGAACTATAAATTTGTAAATGCAAGTAGGTTAAATATATTCACATAAAGCAGTAATCAGTCAGTTTATAAAAGAAATTTACTTTTTGGCCCTAGAATTATCTATGAAGGAAATATAAATATACTGGTGGGCGAAGATGACTTAAATTGAGACAATGAAAAGGTTTTTAATAACGAGAGAAACCCTTTTAGGTTTATAAAAAAGGTTTTGTCTTTACCATTTGGAACGGTTAAAGAAAATAGTGATGACCAAAAATATTGTGTACTAGATTTTAAGGATATACTCAATCCCTAAGTGTTGTATTAACGATATCCTTAATGAATTAAAAAAAAAATTAGCAGATAAAAACATTAGTATTTTCTTATTAAGGGAGTACGAACTGGTGGGGCAAAAGCCCTTAGACGACTATTAATATACCCTATTTTTAAATCACAAATTACAGATTACGCCTAAGTTTAACTTTTTACTAAAACTTTTGTTTGCAAAAACCTGGTAAAATGGAATAAGATCCACTAAATTCAAATTTTCTTAGTTTGTACGAAACCCAGAATAAGTTGCTTCAGTTTACTTCCATTATGTGATAGCTGAATATAATTTTTTTTTGCACCAAGAGGGCGTGCTAATGAATTTAAGAGAGGTTCATTTCTTGAAGTATGATTAGAATGCTACTCTCTGTTAATTACATGATAACACTTTTAGCATAATGGTAACCTCGCTATGTTTGGATAAAAAAAATTACTCTTTGAATTTGGTAAACATTATATCCTATAAACTTCCGCATACACTTTTTATGAAAGGGTTCTAAAACATTAGCTTTCAAATTGCAATTTAAAATAAAATTTTCTATTAAGTACGCGACCATCATAGCCCGAAAAAAAACTGTCGCGTCGATGGGAATCGAACCCACAACCTTGCGCTTGCGAGTCAGTGCTCTTACAGCTGAGCAGCGACGACAATTCTCGATCCCGGTATGATGGTTTAAGGTATTTAACCTATTAAAATTTACTTCGTGAGAGTTAATTATTTATCTTTAGTGTAAATGTAGCATTTCAGCTCCGCTAGCGCTCAAGAAAAAATATTTCTCATATCTTAGAGCACATTTTCTGGATCTCTTTAATGGGTCTCCATCTCCTTTTATACTACCGGAAAATATTCCATTTGTTTATCGCTATATTTGGTGTTTTTTGACTTTTATTGTAGCCAAATGTCTTTGCAATATTTCATTCATGTTTCCATCAATTTATCATTTTTATAACTTGATCTTTACTTATTATTTTCTCTTTTTTATTTTTTATTAGCCCCATTTACCAACTTAAAAACGTTTCTTTGATACCATATTTGGTTGTTCATATAAAATATTCCTTTGCAAAGGCCCTCACCACTTCTGCTGGTACCTATCTGTCTAGAGCAGAACAATTATTGCCTTGTTAAGTAAAACGTTCATATTAGACATTGACGTTTGGTTCATTAGTCAAAAAAATTCCAAAGTCTACTATAATTTTTCTGATGCCCAGCTGCTCATGCATCAAGCATTATAACCTTATCTTACAAGTCACTGAAGTGACGTTTCAATTACTGGAGTTCCGTTCTAAAAATACGACGAGGCGTGCTCTGCATAGAATTTGTTAGCTTTTTATTTGATAATACGCAAAGAACTAGAACGTTAGAGGTACATCTACCAACTAATAAAACTGGTATAGCTTTCAAGCCAATTTTAAAAGACAAAGACCCGATCATTTGTGCTACCGGTTATTTACCATTATGAGCACGACTTTATAACTGTTAGAAATAATAAAATAATCGTTTAAACCAGACAATTCTGGGAAGATCAGTATTATTGCGAATTGATAACGAGGTTAACAGTAGGCAACAGGGCTTGTTATGTCAACATGATAAGTAATATATATGGTGAGGGTGAAAACACTTATAAAAAAACTTTTGCGTCTGCACTAGAAAATGTCATTTGTTATAAAAATTTAAACGATATTTAGAATGTAAGTTATAAGCGACCTATTGAATCGTGTAAATGATCGATGTAGTGTATTAAGAAATCTTGCCTGCATAAACGGTCCAAAAAATGTTAAAAACATCCTGCTACCAGCAAAAGTGATGGATGTATACAAGGCTAATTTCTCTTCAGGTTCCGTTTCTAAAGTTCTTGGGCTGATACTGCTCAATAGTTCTAAAGCATTCAACAACCAAAAAACCGTGATTACGGTGCCTTCGTGATAAAGTGTTAAAGTCATTTAGATGGTAGTTTAACCGAAGCAGTCTCTTATGCTCAAAAGTCAATAACGGTTAAAGCGCAAGGACGGTTGCAATACAGTTAGTATAGCAACACTATGTTATTTTTACTTGGTTATCAAAAAACTCAAGAATTATGACTATGATAAATTCCTGAGTTCAGCTCTATTCTGAGGGTTGCCTTGTAATTCGGAGAGTTACAGGGCAACCGAGAAAATAGGTAAAATAGGTTTTTAGAAGTACAATACGTTATTCTAATGATTATGCTAAAGGAAGACTTAGGTTATTTGAATGACCAGTAGAGAAGAACAGTAGGATTGTACGTAAAGACTGAGCCCCGTAGGCGGGTATTTATACATATAAGGGAAATCCTCCTATCATAAAATATGAAGAAACTGACATTTGGCGTGTTTAAGAAGATATGGATATGAGCACATTATATATTGGACTTAAATTTACTCCCCGTTAAACCGTAATGACAGAAATGAAAAATGGATCTATTTATTATACGGTTACATAACATTTTATTTAAATAATAAGTGTTTAGTTCTGAGATGGGACAGGTGGCAATTCAAACTAAGATTAGGACTTAGAACAAAAAAATGAATAATACGCTTCATCCTTTTTATCTAAACCTCATGTTTATTCCCAGCGTTGTTAAATAACGGTGTTTCGTTTAAATAAAGGACTAATAATGTAAGGATATAATGGTTATTCATGGCTAGGGCATACGTCAAACCGAAAGGAGCTATCGATTCGTATAACCTTAACTAAGCCAAAGGGTTGTTCATTTTTATTTCCCTTTGTTCTGACAATCATCTGGTAGGTATAGACGATAAAAACTTAAGCCTTTTACAGATAGTTTGCAAATGTTTATATAATGAAAGCGAAAACCCACTATTTACAGTTGTAGAATTTAAATTAGGATAGTCCATACAGCGTCTAAAATTGGTTAAAGAAGACTACTTTAGCATGTATGCCAACTTCTTTGTTTTGATCTACATACTCATCAAAAAAAAAAAAATTCTTTGACCCAGATCATTTAATAAGGAGGAGGTATATTCAGGATAGTTGAATATTCTTTAAGGCAAAAACGTTCAAGTAATAACTGTAGTTTAAAAATATAACCCAGACCGGCGTTTACGTCTAAAGACTAGTTGCACCTTAGCGACCAACATAAAGTCTGCTGACGACTAGTGTGTAAAGACAATATAACACCGTTGTCACAGAAAACAAAGCACAATTGATAACACAGTCCGTAAAACATCTTGATGCTAAAGGGAAGGGAAAAAATAGTAAAAATTACTTTAAAGTATTAAAAGTATTAATTAGTGAACCCTACCAAATAAATTATATAGGTAAAATTTGATTAGATAATATAATTAATAAGGTAAACTAATTTAGAGAAAACTTGACTACCCTCAAAGCTAGAACTTCTGGGCAAAAATATTTCTTTACTAATCTTTTTTACACTAGTACTTTATGAGAAAAAATAACTTGAATAGGAAGTTTGTGAAAACCATACATGATTGACTGGATAAACTTACCTGACCTCATATCTTCAGAATGCCGAGCAAAAACGATTAAGTGTATAAAAGTTTTTAGAAAGCAAACAAGAAACAATTTTTAACCCCAAAAACCTGCTTCTTTAGCCGCTGGCACACTGCTTAACAGTTAAGAAGATAGGCCTCGAGTATTGATGAAAGCTCATCTCAAAAGCGGTAACATTAATATACGTATTTTTAAGACTACTTACACTTTCAATATAGTTGGCCCAAAAGAAATTGGGGCATTTTAACGCTATAGTATGAGGGGGGTGTTTCAAGGGAAGTGGGCATGTGGTTATATAAGTTTGGCTCGCGCACCCGCCGCGGTTTTTTTTTTCTTTTTCTGCTTGTTGGGAGGTTGAGTTTAGTGCGTCTGGGAGTCTATAATATCGAATAAACTTACAGTGCTTTCTAGTATCTCGACTTTCTTGTACTATTTTCCTTTTTGTCTATAATATACTTTATATCTGTATTATATTACTTTGCTGTCTATAATTTACAAGTTCTCGAAGACTTACAGTCTGTGGAATCAACACTGGATATCTCCATAACATTTTTGTTTTAGCCCATTCCGCAATTGTCTTGATAGTAAGGTTACCAAGGCAAGCTTATAAATGCAGATGCACTTGGTGCTTCGATCATGGCTTAAACCCTGGTATGAGCATCAATATAATTCAATAAAGCGGCTCCACTTTTCATAATTTAAAAAAAAGGTACGAAACGCTGTGGGGCGAAATCAAGAAATTTTGTAACGGAGTATCAAGCCATCTAAAATTACCTGTGTTAACCTTGAAGTTTTAACAAGTAAACGACCTGCATACCCTGAGGGGCTCGAGTAGTAGAAATATTTATAAGATGCCACAGCTCGTCCTTTTTGTTGAAGTTTAAGTACAAGGCAATTTAATAAATTGTTTTTATCCTCTGCTATTTTTACGAGTGTCTAAAAAAATATTAACAAATTTGCAACAAATTTGCTAAATGATATACTGCTAAACATAATTTATTTTTAACTTTCCAAACATAGTTCCAAGGGTTTATGTAATTCGGCGTATAAATTAATCTGAATTAAACTGTTTTATATTAGTATTCTTGTAATGAAATATATGTATTTATTTTATAATTGTAATTTTCATGAAAATCGAACGATAAATAGTTTTCGGTAGTTAGTTAGACAGTCTGCATTGATTTTAATTAAAATAGAAAAAATCTAGCTGAGCGTTCAACTAAAACATATATTTTGACTTGAATTTTACAAAAAAAATTCAAAGAAACTTATTTTTCTCTATTACTTTTATCTAATGACTCGAGAATCGAGGCTTGAAAGTCTATGATAAATTAATGCAACTTTTACTTACAGTATGGTATCTAACCTTTTTAAAACCAAACTTTTGAACATTTATATAATCTTTTAATTATTATTTCCTCTAATTACTGTATTTCCTTGCTGTATGACGAACTTCTGAAAGCAACTTTAAGTATTAATTAGTGCATATGACTGTTATTTTATAAGCTTGTTTAGTTATTGCATAAAATTTTATGTAATTGTGAAAGTAAACTAATTGAGCAGAACCAAAAATTTACTAAAAAAATTTTTTGATAAAAGTAAGTTATTATACTAAACAATAAGCTTGAGAACCCTTTACGAAGCTTTTTTAGTTTCGCATAACTTGTTGCGATATAATGAATACTTTACTAATCAACTAGCCTTTAATATTATTAACACAAGTAGCTTACTTTTACTATTAGTATACTATTTCACACTATCGAGACTTCTTCTGCATTATACAGGAATTGTACTTTTACTTGACAGCTATGCAGCCCAGCTAATGGGTAGAAAAATTTTTTATTAGTAATAAATTATGCGTTAAGAGTAGTTATTAAACAATTGGGTACATCAAGGTAATACACACCTAACAACGAGCGATACAATTAACTTTTAATTGTTCTTATTACATTTTTAGGTTATTTTTCATTTAGGTAAATATTATATATATTCTATTATAAATGTCGATTTTAAAGAGAAAGCTGCGTGGAGGCACTAATAATTTAAATAACACAAACCTTTGGACAATTCTCTTGCTATGGTAGTATTAAGTTAACCTTGTATTCCATGAGGGATTTCAACACATATTTTGCAGAGTTAAACGGTGTCATCGGACTTTAATAGCCGATCTTTAACTTCTTGTTTTCCGTTCTCTCTTTTGATGAGCCTTTTTATGTCCTTCTTCGGCCTCGAGTTATTTGGTTTTAAAGCTATTAAGATTGGTAGTGGCGAATCGAAAATGCTTTTAAAAAGTTCTAAAGTTTCAATATGGAGATCATCTTTAATAATAGATGTTAATTCTACAGGAAACCACTTATCGGTTCCAAGAGAAAGTAAAATTGTGGATAAAAATAGTTTATTTTCTTTTACTTTCACTGAAGAAATGACTTACATACCACTTAAAGGGGATAGTTTACATAAGAATACTAATTGCAAGGTTGCCTTTTGTGAAAACGTTGCTATGGCTCACACTTATGGCCATCAAGATTATCGTAGAGGTGCAACGTTAGCTAACTTAAGCTATAAAGAAAGGAAAAAAATTATTGTAGAGTTGAAAAAGTTTAAACTGAATGAGATGGCTGTGCACCCAGAGAGCGTGACTAATTTGAATCTTCATGATCAATCTGAACGCAAATTTTATCGTCAACGAAAACTAAAACTTTTAAAAAAATCTGGAAATTAGGTTTATTGAAAATTTTTATGATTTTTTTAAGCTTAAAGGTATAACTACCTTATGCTTTTTTTTTAAACCGTTCATCCTTCTATCTTTATTTATGACTTTTATTTATAACCTTAAATTAATTTAGAATTGTACCTCTTTATAACTGTACGCCTTTGCTTTAGTCAAAGAACAATATTTTTGACTCAATATTTTATGAACGAATGCTTGCGGTCGCTTTTCCATCACGCTGAGAACCACTTGCTTATTTTTTTTAACCTAGGCATATAGCTTGTTTAAATTAAATACTAAACTTGTATTTGTTTTAATTATTTATTTGTAATAATATTGGGTTTCAAAATATATTTTGGGTTAAATTATCCCTTGTCTTTTAATTTATTGGTATTGGAAGAGAACAACACTTAAAGTTTAAGGAAAGTTATGTATTCAATATTTTTATGTGTACACATATAGTTCGTATACTCTAAGGAGGAAAATGAAAAATATAAAAGTTAAGCCTACAAAACTTGTTTTTTGACCAATTTAAACTTAATAAACAGTGCGCCGCGGCGTTTCTTGAATACAGCGACCTTAGTTTGTTGGTTTCAACTAATTTAAAAAATTGGAGGCTACTTATATATTTACTTTTTATATACACAAGTAGAGAACATTGTTTAAATAAAAGAAAAGTAGTATATTTTTCAAAATCGGGCTTAATAAGGAAAAAGAGTGTTTTTTTGTTTTCAAGTCAGAGTCCTTTCGTTACCTGCTGAAGAGATAATTACTAACGATTATACAAATTTATTAAGTCACGTTATCTTTTTTCTCCGCAGCAAACTAAGGAGCTAATAAAGTTTTTTTTTGATTTTAACTAAGTCTTTAGTGCTAGGAAGTCGTATCACTACATAATTGGTTTTTCTATACCTGCTGAAAGATATTTTAGAGAAAAATCTTCAGAAAAAAGTCAGTTCTTTATTTATTCTTACGGTAGTGGTAGAATAATTATCGCCAAGAGTCGTTATGGATTTGAGTTATAAGCCAAAACTATGTATGAGAGTACCAAAGGCCTTAAATAAATTTTTCAATCTTCTAGAAGAATTCTTTTATAGTATTAAAATTTCAGTGCACTAAAACATTTAATTTAACAAGAGCAACGCTTCCTCAACGTAAAACTAGTATACTGGAAGTTAAAAAAAAGGTATACATAGCTTAGATGGAAAGTTATAAAGAGCAGTTTACATAACTAAGCTGAAAAATAGCAAGCAGGTAACGAAGGTTAACAAAAAAGTCAAGTTTGTTCTGTATGTATTTTATCAAAATAGAAATATTTTTCTTTAAAAGAAAATTCAACGTTACAAACCTGGTCTAAATGCTGAGAGTTGTACTTGTCGACATAAATACCTCTGAGTCCCCCTACCTTTTAAATATGTAGTTGTAAAATTTTTAAGGTGAAACAAATTTAAGTTTTCCCTAAAATATGCAGAGACAATTACAAGGCCTTCGGTAACAAAATTTTTAAAATAAATAATAAAGAGGTTTAAAGAAAATAAATTTGAGGAAAATTTTTATATGGGCATTCGAAGAAAGGCAAAATAGTAGAGCACATAGTCTACAAACTTTATTTCAGTGGCACAGATGTAGTTCAATAATTGTTAATTTAACTCACAAACCGGAAAACTGCGAGGATAAATAATTCTAATGTATATAGAAACTCTGAATCTGAATTTTAAGTTTCTGTTTTACACTAAGTGTCTACTGTACCTATTTAAAAACAAATAGCTTACCAAATTTGTAATAAAGTGGTTTTTTCTCTTATTAATATATGTTTCTTTTTATTTATAAAAAGTAGTATTATCTCCGGCATCTACCAAAGAGGAATCAACAAAAACTATAATTAGTTTGACTGAATATTGTTTATTACGATATTAAGAAAGGGGGGTAAGTAAAAATGTAACTAAACGGAAGTGTATCTTTACTGCAAGAATAGTAAAATCTTAGAGCAGACAAAGATAGTAAATCTATAATGATAGATTTCGTATTATGGATTAAAAAAAGGGAATTAAGCGGAGCGCGAAGGGTATGTTATATATGACGCGCTGTATGTTTAACTGTAGATTTCACAAAGGGGTCACTCAGGGTGCAATCGCACCTTTTAGTATTATACTATAACACAAAACTTGTAAGACGGTATAAATTTCTGGTCCAGTACTCTCTTTAAAATCTTTTGTTTTTAACCATAGTATTTTAACTAGATAATTACTTAGATTATGGTAACATTTTTTTTTTGGATTTTTTTTTTATAATAATACAATACTACCTTTAAACACTTTTTATGTAAAAAGTCACAACTTTTTTGTGAAACCCCTAGTTTTACATAAACAGAAGGACTCTTAAAGTATAAGTCGTAACGGAAAAACCGAAAACAAAGCTTATTATGAGGTTCGATCTAACGTCGCTCCTGTCCTCCCAGTATATATTATATTATAAAGAAAACCTACTTAAATTATAAGGAAAGTACTGAAAACTGAAGACACAATAATTAAGAATTATTATTATTTATTAAGTAAAAATAGTAAGAGGTAGTTGTAATTAACGTGGTATAAAAACTAGTTTGCTAAGTTTTTTCGCTTCCCTGACATTCTCATAACTACTGGTAGTTTCACTTATATGAATAATGGAAATTTTTTGAAAATACCGTCTTTACTACATACGTTACTGTTAACTACATTCATCTAATAAATTTTCGAACTTTAATGGCATCTTTTAGTACTCTTCTTTCTGAATACTATATTCATTTCTCATACTATTTCTAATTTTTTTAAAAAAACTTATACCTCCTTTTATAAATACTAGAAAACTAGCTTTTTAAATAGCGAGAACTTGTCTTTGAAGGGTCTTGTCTAAAAGAAAATCTTATAACATTAGAGAAGTGACTATGTTATTTACTAATAACATTTAAAGCAGAGGCCTCTAAAAATATTATCAAACGCTTTTATTGAAATGGTAGTTTACTTCAAACCCGAAACTCTACTCAATATAGCAACCCCATTCTATAATATTCAGTGACTTTTTTCATAAGGGTTTAGTTTTGCCCCGTCTCGGCCACTGTTTATGCTTAAGTTTTTAATAAGTAGCTGCAAATGTTTTATAAAAGGAAAACGTCCAAAAAGAAAAAAACAGAAGACTCAATTACAACCCCACTCAAGTAATCGTACTTTCATTATTAAAGTCAATAAGTCTTTCTTTAATTCATTATTTGGATTAATTTTTTGGACCTTTTTAAATTTATTTTTTTAGTATTTATGAAGTGAACGAAGATCAGCCGAAAACGGAGGTTTCTTTTTTAAATATTTTATTCATCTTTATATTTTTTACTTCAAATTCAGGATGAGGATGAAACTTCGAAAGTAACGGCTTCGCCAGAGCTATTAAAGGCTATAGAAGATGAACTTAATAAACTGTATGAAGTACTTTCACTCCTCTTGAGAGAATATATGATTATTTTTATTGGGGTTTCTTAAGCTTAAATAGTATAATATAACTTCTAACAGTTATTATTTACTTTTTAAAAATTATTATTGATTATTTTTAATAAAGAGGTTTAAAGACGGAAACGACTTTAAGGTACTTTCTTATATGCTGCTTTTTGTTTATTTTGGTTCTTTTACTATTTATAAACTTTTTAATGTTAATTTTTATATATAATATTTATTTCTTAAGTAAATTTTTTTATTGCCTACTTTTTATAAAAAGTTCTACGGGACGCGGACTTGTTGATAAAAGGAAAAGTTTATTGCTGCAAACTAATCCTGAGGAGTTTGGGAGGCCCACTGTTTTTAATGCTCCCTTAAAGAATGTGGCAAGTATTATAGGAAAAGCAAGCATAATAGTCTATCCTGACGCGATCCGTAGGAAGAAAGGATGGAGCTTGATTACGCCATCTTTGCTCGAATGCAAGAAGAAGCCGCAAAGCTTCAAAAAGAAAGAAAATTGTTATTTTATATAATAATAAAATATTATTTATATCCGCATTTATGAATTATTTCAATCTAAGTAGAAAAAAAGTATTGTTTTATGATTCTGTTCTTAAAGAGATTTACTTAGTAATAAATATCACTTTTACTTTAATTTTAGTTTTTTAAAGGTAACATTCAATTTGTAAACAAAGAAAATAAGAAAAATATTAGCCAGTTACTTCCATTTTAATTTTACATTAATTGCAACAAGTATTTGGTTCGAAAAAAAGTAAAATAGACACGATTATTTTTACTTTAACTGCTTTTTAGCCAGTCCGTGGGCTGAAAGATTGTTACTTTCTTGTCGTGATTTAATATTTATTATATAGAAAACTTGAATCTGAAAAACATTCTTTAAAGCAAAAGCACCTTCAGGAATTAACAGAAAGAGAAGCAACACTTTTAATAGAATTAAAAAAAGTTTCATTTTCACTTTATTTATTGTATTATTAAATAATATTTCTTATTCAGATTAGAGAAGAGCGACAGAAACTTTTGTAAGTTTATAAGGGAATGAATTTACAGTAATTTTAATATTTTTCTTTTTATAATACAGAAGCGAACTTTCTACCGAAAACATCTACTCGTATTATCATTACTGCTATTATTGATATTATTGTAATAATCATGAATATTTATTCCAGAGAAACTCCTGCAACCTCTACTTATTCTTCTCAGTCGACTGAAGACTTTGTAGAGTCTTCATAGTACTTAAATAGATTTATAAATTAGTTCTTCCAGTTTTTTAACAAAATATATGTCGCTTCAAAAAAGTTTTACTGCTACTAACGCACCAGTGGATCTCACTCTTTCCTCGTAAGTTTTAATAGAAGTTTTTATTTTCCAGCTCGCTTGCAGTTTCTTTCTCTTTTTTAATGGAAAACGCAGTAAATAACAAATATTTTTATAAAGAAAAACTTTAGTAAAATAATAATTGTTATTGTTGGTTGCAAAATAGCTCTAAAGTTTCGTCAAAATGTTATTAGTTGGTCCAAGTTAATTTATATTGGAAGGTTGACAAAAAGTTTTACTGCGTCAACTCCGATTCTACAGCATTTGTCTAAGTTGCTGTAAATTCAAATAGTAATGTATGCAGTACTCTACCAATCACGAGTTGTCATGTTCATGGTTTTTTTAAATGGTGAAATATATTATAACAAACTTTAATAAAAGGGAGCCAGTTATTATTTGCTTGCGCGTTAATGGGATACAGTTTCCTACCTCTGTGTAAATGGCTATGTTTTATGAAGTATATTTACATGCTTTTACATATTTAAACCATTGTTGGTCCTATTTGTTTACACTAATTATATTCGGGTACCATTTATAAAGAAATGTTATATAAACTACCATAAACTGTACCCATGCATTGACAGACCTACAGCCTATCATCTCCATAGGTTGTAAATCACTTGATTATACAAGTGCTACATTTTCCTTACTATGTGTGAACTGTGCTTATAGAATATTGCTTGCTTCTTTTATCTGACCCTTTTAATAATAAACTGACTCTATTTATCCAAGCAACCAACTAAAACCTTTCTGGAACCCGGAATCTTGTCCGATAGTAGTTGACAACGGTTCTGGCGTGTGCAAAGCTGGGTTCCCTATATTTATTGAACATTTCTTTAATATTTATATGAATATTTTTTCCTATCACTAATTTTTTTCTTATGTTTTTATTACATTCAGTACTCTTATTACTATTATTAAACAATTTATGTCAAATTTTATTGGATAAGCTACTTTTCATTATAATTGTCGCTATTTTTAAGAATTATTCTCAAACATTATACTTTCCTTTTGGATTATCGCTATTTTAAAACCGTTTTATTGTCTAACTTATTGGTGGAAGTTATGTATATTCTATAAAGCAAATATTATAACGAAATTTTTTCATTTAAAGCTCTTTTTGCTAAAATTTAATAACTTAAATTTTATTGGATCGATAAATCATTTTTTTTAAAAACTTTTTATCTTATTTTATGAAAATTCATTAATTGCTAAAAAAAAAAAAAAGTATAGTAGTAAATATTTATATATTTTCTTTATAACACTTGAATTATTTTTATTTTTTTACTTTTCATGTTTTATGAATTGGTCGCCAAAATAAATTTTTTAATAATTTTTATAACTTTTTCAACGCTTTTTATAACTATTTAGATTTTGCACGTCTCCAATCCCCACCTGTCGCTTCTCTTCGGTGGTTGGCCGGCTGCGTTATAGAGAAATAATAACACCTGAAGTTACTATTATTTCTATTATTTTTATTTTTATTAAATATATACTTATTTTTTTATATAAAAGTGCATTTTGGTAAACCTTTAAAGTTTTAGTATAATTATTATTATTATTTTGCCTTCTTTTTCATTTTCTACTTCGTTTTGTATTTTTTCTAATTTTTGGTTAACTCATATAATATGTTTGTACTTTTATTTATTTATTACTTTTTTTTTGGACTTCAATTTTTTGTTTGAACATTATTTATTTATATTTCATTCTTATTTTTTACATTTATAAACTTTTTATTAATTAATATTGTTTTATTAATAAACTTTATTATTGTCTTTACTTTAAAAGTTTTCTTAATAAACTTTTAAATATATTTATATGTTTCTTTATTTTCCTTTTCTAATTTTTTTAATAATATATAATATATTTTTTATTTTTTTGTTAACTTTACAAACTCTATCGATGGTAAATATTTTATTATGAAAAAATTCTTAAAAATGTTAATATGCAAATTTATATTATTATTCAAACTTTAGATAAGTTTTATCAATATTTTCTACATCTTATTGCTATTAAAAAAATTTATATAGTAATATATAAATTTATATGTGTATTTATTTTAATTATTTTTATAAAACTAAGAATATTACTATATTAAGTTTTTTATAAATTTTAATACTATTGAAAAACGTTAAACAATAAAGTATATAAACTATTATGCTTTTTATTATATTAATATCAACTTTTTTGATAAAAATTTTATTTTAGTAAGTTTATTGCTATTAAATACAATAATTATATATATAATAAACTTATTACTAGTAAAAATATTTCATACTAATATTTTATATATTATATTTTGATTTTTTTTATTATAAGCTTATATTATTTTTTCTATATAAAACTTTTTATTTGTTATTATGTTTTTTTTACAAAAAAGTTCTTTTTAAAAATAAAAACTTTTTATATTATATTTAATGTTATTAACTTTTTTTTTACTAAAGACCTTTTAATTATTATAATTACTAAGTTTTCATATGAAAGAAAACTTTTCTTTTAATTTATCACTTTTATTAACTTTTTATTTGTTATAAAACTTTAACATTCATATTTTTATTAAAAACTCGAACTTTATAAAAAAAATTATAACTCAAATTTTATATTTACTTATATTGTCATTTTATAATTTTTTTTTGTATATTTTTATTAAAGTTTCATAGTGTTTATACATTTTTATAGAGAAGAAACATTACCATTTTATTATTAATATCTATATTTTCTTAACACAACTTATAAAGTTTTATACTACCTAAACTTTTATATATTTGAATAAAACTCAACTTTTTATTATAATTTATTACTTTTTTATAAGAAACAAAAACTTTTGTTTAGATATTTTATTATTTTTATAAATTTTTTATAATATAAAGTATTAGTAAGTTTTACATTTATTATATTTTTATTATAAAACTTTTACCATATTTTAAAAATACAGCGAACTTTATTATCAAAAATTATTATCTTCTTTATGAAAAAACTTTAACTCATATCTTCTTATAATTACTGGTTATTTATATAACTTTTTATGAATAATAATTATATTATTATGAAGTAAATAAATTTTTCATTAAATGAAACTCAAACTTTATATTATTTTTATTATTAATACCACAAAGTTAGATACTTTTTAGTAAACTTGAAAATTTTAAAATAATGTTAAAAATATTAAATTATTATTATTTTAAAAAAAGTAATTAATATAACAAATAAATCAAAAAATATGAAAAAAAAATTTATACAGAATGTACACTAAATTATCAATATCATAATAAAAATAATAAAAAATAAATAAACAGAATAAATATTAATAAAAAAATATATAATAATATAAAAAAATTGAAGTATTATAATAAAAATAATATTTTATAAGTAATTAATAAATTTAAAGAATATTCCTAATAAAATTTATAACAGTAGTAATAATAAATAATAATAAAGCATTAATTATATTATATTTATTATATAATAAAACTTAAACTTGATATTCTTTATAAGTTTTTATTTTTATTATATATATATAACTTTACTGTAAATGTTATTTTTATTGTTATTATAAAGTTTTACATGTTTTTATATCATTATAAAACCACAACTTTTATATTTTTATAATTATTCTATATTAAAACTTGATAACTTTTTTTAATATTTATCAAAGTTTCTTATTTTTATTGTAAAATTTTCACTTATATATTTTATTCTTCTTTTTTATACTGAAACTTAAAACTTTTTTATATATTATTATGTTTCATACTATAAGAAACTTTACTTTTCTTTCTAATAAAAAATTTTATATATATATTTTATTATTTCTAATAACTTTAATAAATTCTTTTTTAAAGTTTACACTTTTAAATACCATTAAGAAATATTTTAGCTTTAAACTTTTATAATAAATACTTTTTGTAAAGTATTGATATAAAAAATATTTCATCATTTTTATTTGCTTAGCTTTTAGTAAAAGATCGCTATGTCGGGGATGCAGCCCAATCAAAAAGAGGAATTCTTAAAATAGAATACCCTATTGGTTCTTTTTTATGACTTTGAAAAATTTATAACTGCCGCTGCTTTCAGCTTTTGATACTTTTTAATAATAATAATAATCATAATAAAAATTAATAATAGTAATAGTAACAATAATAATAATAATAAGAGCACGGTGTTATCACGAACTGGAGCGACATGGAGCTCATTTGGGATCATTGTTTTTACGACCAACTGCGGACCAATCCGGAAGAGCATCCGGTCATGCTGTACTTTTGATTATTATTATTATTATTATTATTATTACTATTACTATTATTAATTATTATTATTATCAGCACGGAAGCAGTAAATAACCCAAAAAATAACAGAGAAAAAATGGCGGAAATTATGTTTGAAAAATATGGAGTGCCGGGGCTGTTCATATCTATGCAGGTCCCATTCTTATGATTATGATTATTATTAAAAGTACAAATAGTGTTATTATTGAGTAATTAAAGTTTGTAAAAAACTGTTGAGGAAATTATAAAGCAAAAAAGATTATATTGTAACAATAAACAAATTAGTACATTTATTATTATTATTACTATAGTTATTAAATATTATTATTATAAATATTATTTATTATTATTTACTATTTATTAATAGGCATTACTTTCCTTGTATGCTTGCGGGCGCACGAGTGGGCTTGTGGTTGATATTGGCGACGGCGTGACTCACACTGCCACTGTTTTCAACGTTCTCCTTTGTTATTATTTTTTTATATATATAAAGAAATTTCATTATTATTTTTTTATAATGATTTCCTTTTTTTCTTTATATATCATTATAAATAGATTTATTATTACTATTATTTTCATTCCTTTTTCTTTCTTTAGAATTTTAATACAAATATATTTAGTTTATTATTTTACTATATTTATACATGAATATATTTTTATTATTTTTATTTTCATTTTATAGTAATTTTCTTTTTCTCATAATTGTTTAATTTTTCTATTTATTATTCTTTTTTTATAACTTTCTTAATTTTTTCATAATTTTACTTTTCATATTTTACTTTACATTTATTATTCATTACATCTTATTATATTATTATTTATATATTTATTAGTTATTTTCATATCTTTTCTATTACTATTTTTATAATACATATATTTTAATTTTTTAATAAAAATAATATTTTATTAATAATAATTAATATTGAATGTTTTTATAGTATTTTAATAACTTTTTTATATTTATAAACAGTTTTATTGTTTATTATAAAATTTATTATTTCTAAAAATAATAAATGATAATGAAGTAATAATAATAAAATAATAATAGTAAATTTTAATTGTAAAAACTTAATTAAAATATTTTTTCTTTTTTAAGTACATTGATAATATTTTTATTTGTATCATATTATATATCTTATTTGTATTTTTTACATATTTGTAATTATTAATAGTAGTAAATATAAAAGTTTTATACTTTTTGTTTTCTTGTAATAATAATATTTATTATAAATTTACAAATAATGATAATAAATAGTTTTTATTTTTATATAAAATTATTATTTTACAAATTTTTAAAATAGATAAGGAAACTTTTTTATTATTTATAAGTAGAATAATAAAGTTTTTTTTTGTAAATATCACATTTATAAGCATTTTTTGTTATTAGTCTTTCTATTTTCTGTAAAAATAATAATAAAAGTTCTTATATTTTTTTAATACTATTTAAAATATTTTCATTTTTTTTGGTCTTAATATATTTTAAATAAAAAAATTTTAATATTTTTATAATACTTGAAAAAAATTCATTATTTATTTTGTTTTTATTATAATAATTACTGATTATCTATATTTTTAAAGTTTTTTAATTTCTTTTTATTATAAATATATTTATTTATTTACTTAATGTCTTTATTTGTTTATATTTTTTTATTCTATTTCTTATATTTTTAATATTTTTTATTATTCTAATATTTATTATTAAATGGTATTATAAATTTAAAACTATTTTATTACATTAATTTTATTATTACTATTATAAATATGAAGTTTTTTAAAAAATGCATAAGTATTTATAATTATAATTATTCACTTTTATAAAACTTTTATTATTTTTAATATCAAAATTTATTATTTTACATTTGATTTTTTTTTATAGTAAATATTAACTTTATTAAACCTCATTTGTATATATTAGATTTATTTTACTTGTTATTATGTTTAAAGTAACAAAAATACGTTAAAATAATTATAAAAGGATTTGATTTTTATTAATAATTTCATATTTTTTTAAAAATCACTTTTATTTAAAACTTTTATAAAACTTTTTTTTAAATATTTTACTTATTATGTTTAAAGCAAAAAATAAATACGTTATAATAATTATTGATAAAGTGTTCAGCTTCTATATATTTTTTAAGAATCACTCTCAAACTTTATTTCTTATTATTATAAATTTTAATGAAAATTTGTTAAACATTTTTTATGACTTTAAATATTTTATTTATTATAATATGTATTTACAATATTATTATTATAATGTAAAACTTCTATATATTTATTTGTTTATTAGTATTTTATATATTTTTATCACGAAATTTATGGTTTCATAACATTTTCTATATATTAAACTTTTCTTTATTTTTACATTTTATAACTATACATTCTTGTTATATGAAACTTTTCTTCTTCTTTATTACTACCTTCATCATCATTATTGATATTTACAAAAATTTATTATTTTTAGGGCTGGTTGCTTCCACATTCTTCTCTAAGAATGAACCTGGCAGGCCGCGATCTCACAGAGCGAATGGTGAGACTGTTAGCCGAAAGAGGGTTCGTTATTAACGCTATTAATATGATTATTATTATTAAATTTCTCATTTTATTAATATTTTTTTTTTATTTTTTTTATAATATTTCATAAAAGATTTTATTTTATTATTAAATAATTTTAAATAATTATAAAAATGAAATTTTTAATAAAATCGAATACAAAATATATGAAAAGCTAAACAATTTAAAAAATTTTTATTACTTAAACATAATAAATTATAAAAGTAATAAAACTAAAGATTATATAAATTCACACTTATTATAAAAGTAAATTTAGAATTATTATGAAATTTATAAGAATAATGAATACGTACTACAGTTTTACTCTGTCTTTCATAAATATTAGCTAAACCTAAATTTAAATATTTATTGGATTAAAAATATTTTTATACTTCTTACAAAGTAACTATAATAATCATATTTTTAATAAAATATTTTAGTTAATAATATAAAATAAATTATATCGATATTAGTAAAATTCAGTAATGAGGATATTAGAATATTTTATTTATAATAAAACTTAAAATAAACTGTATATTATTATAAAATATAATAAGAAGGTAAATAATAATAGTTGCAAATAAATACTTTTAATTAATATAGAAATTTTATAATAAAAATATATAAACAAATATAACTTTTACAAAAAAAAAAAGAAAGAATGTAAAATCTTCAAAATTTATAATGAATAATAAATAATATAAAATACTAAATATAGTGAAGAAAATATAAAAACAAATAACTGTAAATTTAATAATATATATAAATATTTATAGTTTTATTTTTATTGAATATTATTTTCTTTTTTACTTCTATTATATATTTTTTATAGAATTCGATGATTTTAAAAATTCATATAAATAAAACTTTTTCACAATAAAAAAAGAATATAATATTTTTTTAAAATTTTACAATAAATAATAAATAAAAAAAATAAATTTTAGTAATAAATAAAAAATTTATAATACTATTTTCAACTTCTTAATATTAATAATTGTTAGCTTTTATTAATTTTTTAATAGCAACTTTTAATAATAATTTATGAAAATGTAAAATCCTGTTAAATATTTAATAATTTGTTTAGTAAAATGTAAAAATAGTAAAGAGAAAAAAAGTATTTTATTATTAATAATAAATAATAACTTATTTAATATATAATAAAAGTTAGTAAAAAGTATTTAAAATAGATGAAGCTTTATAAAAATATTAAAATAAAAGTTCATAATTTATAATGGAAAAGGAAAAATACTGTTAATTTATTAAGTTTCATAAAATAATAATAACAATAATATATAAATTTTAATATCAATCATATTAAAAACTTTTATATATATTTATTATATTGAATAAATATAAATAATAAATAAGTAATAACTTTAAATAAAATTTTATGTTTTACAAAATATTATTATAATTACTTATAATTAAACATTATAGAAAACGAAACGTTTCAATATGCATTAATAAAACATTTATTAAAAAGAATAAAAATTAATTAAAAATATCAAGTAAAAAATTTTATTATTAATAATAATAAATAATAATTTTTATTTTATAAACTTTTAAGTAATGATATATATTTAATAAAATATTATTGAATTTTTTTTTTAATAAATAAAAATAAGTTGGTATTTTTATTAAATACTTATAATAAATAATAAAAGAAGTGTACTTGAATAATAATAAAGGTTGTACTACTATAGAATATAGTTATAATAAAAATAAATAAACTCTAATAATAATAAATAAAATTGATATATAAATATTATAATAAATATTAAAGAAATTTTCACACTAAATATACTATTATATTTAAATATCAATAAAATAATAGAATTTATATTATTAATAATATACTGAAGAAACGAATAACAATAATAAAATAATAAATATCATATAAAATATAATATTAATGATAGAATTTATGTTAAAGAGAGAAAAATAATAAATAAATATAAAGATATTTTTAACTGTAAAGTAAATAAATTTCTTCAAATATACGAAATAATAAAGAATTATTTATTCTTATTAAATAATAATAACATAAAATATAAAAATTATATATTTATAATAATATTTACAAACCTGACATTTTTTATATTATTTTACTTTACTTTCGTATTTATATAAATATTTATTAAAACTGCTTATACTAATTTTAAATATTTTATTTCTGTAAATAATTTGTTTTCTATTTCTTTTATTTTTTTATTATCCAATATTTCATCTTTTTTTGTGTTATCAACTTTTTTATTTATTTTTATTTAATACTAATTATTATTTACTATTTTTTCTTATATATTTATTGCTTTTATTGTTAATTATTATTTGTTCATTAACGTTTTTTATTATTTATAAAAATTTTTGTTGTATTTATTTATTTTATATTGTGTGTATTAAACTTTTTTTTGCATTCTTTTGTTATTTTTTACTTATTAATATTTTTATTTCATTTATTTTAAATTTTTTGATGTTTACTTTATACTTTTTATATATTTTTTATTATTCTTTTTTAATATTTTATACAATAAAATAGTTTATATTTTATTATTTATAGAATTTTCTATTTATTATATTATTTATTTTTATTTTATTTTTGTATATTAATATTTATAATAATTTTATTGTTTAAAGTTTTTATATATTAAATTCTTCTTCTCCTTACTTTTATTATTATATTAACTTTTTATTTTTATTTATTTTATAAACCGAATATGAGAATATACGAAAGTATTTATTTTAATATCTGTTTCAGCTATCAGTTCACTACAACTGCTGAAAGAGAAATAGTTCGCGACATAAAAGAAAAACTTTCTTATGTGGTTTCTTTTTTCTTTAAAAAAATTGATTGGTACTCAGATGAAAAGCTGTCTCCAATCACATATTTGATATTCCACGATCCGCCAATGATATCATTTGTTTTGTGTTTTTTGATATTATAAAAGTTTGCCTTTAATATTTGGATAAATTTATTATTTTTATTATTTTTACTGACTAATAAATATTTTATTTTATTACTACAAAAAATCTTTAAAAGTTTGTAAACGCAATTAAAAAAATTGTTGAGGAACTTCGTTAGTAGTAATAAAAATTCCTAATAAAAAAAAGTTGAGAAGTTTTTGGCACTCCACTAAATAATTTGAATATATGTATTAAAATATTTGTTATTCGTTATCTAATTTTTTTTTTAGTTCTTAAAATATTTACATTACAATTATATATATTAAGGAAAAATAACTATTTTTTATAAATTTAAAAAGTTTATCAGAAATTATTATTATTTTAATTTTGAAAAATAAACTTTTCTAATATTAATAAAAGTTTTTATAATTTTAATCATTAACATTTTTGTAATATTACAAATATTTATTATTTGATATTAAATAAATAAATTTTTTTATTTGCCATAAAAAGTTTATTAATATTATTAATTCAAAAAAAAGTTATGTAAAAAAAGACATTTTTTAGTGAATAAAAAGTTTGTAAACTTTTTGGGGTTCCTTGTTTTACAATTTTTTTTTTTTATGAAATTGTATTTATTGTAAAAAAGTATAACTTTCATTTTATATTTTAATATATAAAAAGTTTTTTATTTTTTTCTTCATTAAAATTCTACATACCTGTTATAATTTTTTATTCGATATGTTGTACTATACTAGTTTCATAACTATTATATATTATATTAAAAAATTATTGTATTTACTATAAAAAAGTTTTACGCTATTCTATTTGCGACTTTGGTTTTTTAGTGTATTGTCATTATAATAATTTCAAATTATTTCTTGGAAATATTTCACTTTTTTTAATGAATAAATGTATTTCTTATTGTTATTTATAATTTTTCGAACTTTTATAAATATAATAAAAATTAATGAATTTAGAAAAATAAGACAAAATTGCCCCAAAATGAACCTTTTTATAAACTTTTAAGGCATTTAACTATGAAGAAGAACTGGCCAATGAAGAACGAGACAGTATTGCTGATGATTCCTATACGCTACCAGACGGCCAGGTAATTAATACTGGTTAATGGCGCGGTGAATAGTTTACTAAAAATAATGAATACATATTAGTAATAAATCATAATGTTAAAAATTATAAAAACTGAATTATTAAAAACAAAATAAAAATAAGTTACATATTATAAATAATACAGAAATAAATTATTTAATAAATAAGAATATGATTATGAAAACTGTATTAGACTATAAAAGTAAATATTTAAACAATAACAATAATTAACTATAATAAAAACTTTTTAGCTGTACAGATATACCCTCAAATTATGATGAAGCTTTTAATAAAATTTTTAGTAGTTTTCTGGAAACTTCAATTGTTGTGAATATTTTTTATAAATAAAATTTCATTAAAATTCATAAATTTTTAAATATTCATTAAAAATTAAACTCTTCTTTCGTTGAGTTGTAAATAAGCTATTAATACACGAATTTTAAAGTAACAATAAAAGATTTTTTGTGGGCACTTAAAATTTGTCATATAAGTTCTAGCTTTAAATTTATTTCAGATAATTTTCATAATATGTTTGAGGTTATTCAAAAATTATGTATAGCAAAATATTTTATACAGTTAAAATGAACTTTTTTGGCGCCACTTATTTTGTATGTTTTGAAATATTCATTAATAAGCTGTATTAACAATTATAAAATAGCAAAGAATTTCAGTAATTTTAATGAATTATAGAGTAAAACTAATGAGCTTTTTAATTTTAATTATTATCTGTTTAACGCCAATTCTAATTTCATTATTTCTTTTGATGTTTTATAAAAATTATACTCTAAAAATTAATAAATAGTTAAATTTTATTAGTAATATTGATGAAGTTCACAGAAATAATGAATCAATTTCTATAGCGCGCTAATTTTTTATTATTAAATAATTCCTTTTGTGATAACTGTAATGACTCTTTGTATCGCATCAACTATTTTTTTAATAAAATTTTTATTTTCAGTTATTATTAAAAAGTTTAGAAAATATAATGTTGAGCTTTATTTTTATATTGTTAATATAATATTAAAGAATGCTTTTTTTTAAAGTTTATTGTTATTATTATTTAAAAGAGTTTGAAACTCTACACTATTTTCTTTAAACTTTCCTTTATTAATACCCATTTTTCTATTTCCTAATATTTCTTCTGCTTTTTTATTTATTTATTTATTTTTATTATTATTATTTATAAAAGCCGTAACAAATTTCCTTGTTATAAAACTTATACATTTTTTAAAAGATTATAAATTTATAATACAATTTTAGACACTTAAATACTTAATATACTATTTTTCATTACGTTTTTTGAATATTTTTTGGCGTACAAAATATTATCAGATTTAAACTACCAAGATCTTCTGATGATTCTGAATTACAAATTTTTTATTTTTTTACTTTCTAATATTATTCATATAATAATAATGTTATGTCCACTTACCATAATTTTGTTATAAATCAAAATCTATACTTCATATGCCAAAATATTAAAAAAAGCCAAATTGGCTCCACGCTATTTACCGCGTTACTTATTGGTTAACCCAAGAATGCAAGCTTTTTACTGAATACAATTTGATCCGATTCGTTTTATAAAGTATATTAATTATGTCACAAGGCCTGTAATTTTTTTGGTAGACAGTAAAATTGTTGGCACCATGTAACTAATAATTTTTTTTTGGTAGGTCATCTATGTTGGTTCCGAATCATTTCGATGCACAGAGGCCCTCTTTAAACCCAGTTTAGTCGGCATGGAAGATTCGGGAATTCACGAGCTCACGTACAAGTCAATATTTAAGTGCGACAACGAGATTCGCAAGTAATAATAATAATAAATATATAAATAAGAATTATAAACTCTTTTTCTCAAAACCTATAAAACAATGAAGAGACATGTACGCGAATATTGTGCTTTCTGGAGGCACCACGATGACTCCAGGCCTCCAAGAACGACTTACTAAAGAACTTTCCTTATTGGCTCCGCCCGATTGCACTGTTTAAAATATTCATAATGATTTTTTTTTAACTCCTTTTTAACTTAAAAGTAATAATAAGGGATTATATACAATTTTCATTGCGCATTTGAAAATATTACAATGCTTTTAGATTTGTAACTATTTTTTACTATTATAGTATAAAATATAATTCTGCTGTTGAAAGCCTCATAGAGATGCGTTATCATTAAAATATTGACGCAATGAAATAAACGAACCATATTAATGGAATTCGTAGGCCTTTTTTATAAAACGAAAACAGCAACATTATATATTATCTGCCATAATAAACTAAAAGCAACCCAGTAAGGCCACTAATAAATTCATAAAAAAAATTGCTCTTGATATATAAAGTTGGTACTGTGCAAAATAGTGTAAAAATGTCAACCAACTATTAAAGGTACCATTTAATGTTTTGATGGCCATTAAAAGAGCTTGATAAGCTATAAACAGGTACTTTTTAAAAAAATTAAAATATTATACGCCTTAAAAAAAAGTATTATTAAGTTACTGGCAAAATTACATAAGCCAGTGTGCTACTGCTTTGAGATACACAAATAGCCTGTAAAGTGGGACCAGTTACATACGTGTGGCTATTATATAACATTTAGGATACTTATTAAATAGAAATCTTTTTAATATTTGCAAAAGTAATATATTTAACAAATATAAAAAAAATTTGAAAAAACGGTCCAATTATTTTTTTTGTCACACATTCGTTTAATATACAAATTATAATACTTATTACGTATAATAAGTGATGCTAAATCTATCTCTTATTTTACAACTAAATTATTATATTTCAATCATTTCCCCTCAAACCAGTAATTCTTTTATGATATACTTTCATATGCTTTTTAAATATAACAAAAACAATAACAAATTAATAAATATACTTTATTACTTTAATAATCTTAGGTAAACCTGTACGCACCCGCAGACCGAAATAACAGCGTCTGGATTGGCGGAGCCGTGCTGGCTTCGCTTGATTCGTTCCTTCCCATGTGGGTTACCTCCACCGACTACAGCGGTAAAACACAAACTATGCTTTCCTCCTTTTTTGAGTGTTACCTTAAACTGGTAGGTAGTAATAAACCGATTCTAAATAATTAGAGGTATTAGACTAAACTTTGACAAAAGGCTACCTGTCACTGTACACATGTATTTATATTTTTTATAACTCAAATGATTAGCCAAGCAATTGTAACGAATCAACTTTTTTTACAAAAGAACACGTGCTCCGAGTACATGTATTGCACGTGCTGAATATCATTGTCATCTAATTGTTATTCGTTATTTTATTAAATACTATTATTATAAATATTTTCATCATAACAAATATGAAGCATTTTAATAAAATACAAAAAGTTAGCTTTAACAAACTTTATAAATCTAAATAGAGCGCGGCTTCGTTGCAGTTCATGAAAAATGCAATGTCATTGAATAACCACGTGGGTAAATCTTGCAATCCAATAAAAGGGATTTGTTTTTCCATGCTACCACTTTACGCGTCGTTTCCTGCCGGAATATTTGGAATCAGGGCGGACAGCAATCCGGCCTTGTTTTCTTTGGCGCTCCTTTTTGCGACGAATGAATTCTTTTAACGTGATGCGCTGCCCTTTAGCTGTTCGCTTCGCTTTTTTACTCCTGTTTAGCAAATACACCAATAATATTATAAAAAATATTTCCATTTTTCTTTTAAAAAAAAATTCGCGTCATCAATAGAACTTTACTAAAATTTTAATAATCATTTTATACAAGCTATTTTTCAAAGCTAAAAAGTTAAAATATATATTAATATAAGTACATAAAGAGATTATTATGTAATAAAAACCGATTACCCAATAAAAACATAAATAACAGAAAGATAATTGAAAAAGTATAAAAAATATAAATAAGACTAAGAAAAAATTTAAAAGTTTTTAAACTTGTATAAATAAAGATAATATTAACAAAAAATTGTATGTAAATAATTTACTTTTTAATTCGCAATATATTCTATACTATAATGTAGTTTTATACTATAAAAAAGTAAATTTTTATTATATTTAAACTTATAAAACAAAAAATATAAATAAAAAAAATAAACAAGAAAATGTTATTGATAAAGAATATTAGTAAAAAACTTCACTACTCAACAAAAAAATTGAAATTAAATAAAAAACTACAGCGCCTTTAGACTATTTTCAATATTACTGTAATATATATTGTTCATATAAATTTTTTTTTAAAGTTAATATACTCAAATATAAATAAAAATATATTTGATAATAAATAAAAAAGATAGAAATATTGCAACGCCGACAAAAACAAAAAAATAAACACATTAAGTATTATAATTATGATATAATAATTACATACCATTGGCTAAGAAAAATGTAACTCTTTTCATTAGCCAATCATACAAATTTTATAATGAAAAAGAAGCCCATAAACTTAGATGTAAAAAAACACATCTTATTAAGCACAGAAGCGCCACATGAGAGTCAGCCATGAGGAGTAGCGCAGAACAATTCATATAAAATTTGAAAGAATTAACAAAACCAAAAGTATATAGAAAACTAAAATATTTGGTAAAAATTTTAAAATAGAATAATTACGTATTAAATTCATAGTAAAAAAATAATAATAAAAATTAATAAATTCTAATTCTGACGATAATTAGTAACTGGCGCCGAAATAAATTAAAAAAAAATACATAAAATCCCCGCCAAAAATTTATATATAAAAATTATTTTTTTTTTAATTATTATTAATAATTTACTTGTATAAACGTAATTATTTCTAAATATTCACTATAATAATAACAGGAAACACTAGTTGACAATCAAAAAATAAAGGAATTGTAATAAATAGCGGTTATGAGCCAAATTTAATGGCGCCTAAAAAAAACCCCCAAATAATGCATAAAAATAATGAACTTTTTTTGAAAAAAAAATTATTAAATTACGCCAAATAAGAAACGCTTGAATCCATGAGGCCTTCCACATGCGGCAGCAATACAGTTTCAGGACCGCAAATAAGGACAAGATATATTCTAATTTAAAAAAAAATTTTAAAAATATCATTCTAAAACTCTATAATACCTTATAATATTTAAAAGAAGTTAGTAACTTTTCTATTTAATAAATAATAAAAGAACTATAAAAAAGCAAAAAAGGGTTTCTACATTTCTTTCATTATATAAAAAGATATTATATTCATAAAAATTGCTTAACTTGCACTAAAATAATTAAAATTTTTCTAAATAATACAATAATTATATTTTTTATTTCATTACTATTTATATTTACTTGTAATCCTTTATTATTTAACAATTTTTTTAATATTTCATTATAATTCCAATAAAATTTTCATAAAAATATTTAGATGCCTAAAAAATTGCAAAACACTTTTTTAAATGTAAATAAAATATATTTTATTACCACAATGATAACAACTTTATTTTTTAGTATATAGAAATATTGATATTATATTTTATTATTTTTGTATAAATATTATTATTATATATTATTAAATATATTATTTAAATAAATTTTATTATTTTTATATACTTTTTTATATATTGTTATTATTATTTACATATACAAAAAGTTGTCAATTTTCATAATAATTTGAATGCTTTATAGAAAATATTTTTTATGGCTCTTTATTAATATAATTAATAAAAAGTTCTCATACACCTATAATATTAATGTATTGAATATTAAAAAAATTATACTCATAAAAACCCTCGTACGCCTTATGCCTTAAAAAAAAATTTTTTTTTTTATGTAAAAAGTAGTATTATTATTATCAAATATATATTATTATTAAAAATATATAAAATTTTTTAATATTATTAAAGTTTTATATTTTCTAAAAGCTTTTTAATACTTATTATATATATTTAACAAATGGAACTTTACTAATACAAAATTTCCTTATAAAAATTGTTATTACTAATATTTTATATTTAAAACAAATTTTCTGCTATAAAATAAAATTAAATGTTTTATGTAATTTCTAAAAACTTTATAATGCTTAACAAAAAAAATTTTGTAAAAGAAGTCATCATAAAATTTATTATTTTTATTATTATTTCGAATTCTTATTAATAATACAACATATAATCGTTTATAACAATTCTAAAAACTTAATAAAACTTTTTTAATACAAACTTAACTATTAAAAAAATGTTAGTATATTTTTCTTGACAAAAATATAATGTAGAATAAAATGAAATAATTATTACTATTAAATCATATAATAAAAATAATTTAAAGTAAACAATTTTTTATGTAAATATACTTATTATATTGTAAATTTCTGAATAATTTTTTATATATATATAAAAAAAATTTCATTTTTACTTATATTTTAATTTCCTAATTAGTATTATTATGTAAAACATGAAAATCACTATAAACTTTAATTCAATATTATAATATATATAAAAAAATTATATAATATAATACTAAGTCGTGAAAAAGTATAACAAACACATATAAAAATTATAATAAGTTTAATAAAATAATACCGTTCGAATAATATAACAAAAGATTAAAGTATTTCAGTATTAAAATAGAAAAAATAATAAATGATAGCAAAAACACTTTTAAAATTATAATAAAAATAAAAATAATAAATCTGAATGACAACGCAAACTCGTTATAAAAAAAACATATAATAAAAATACACTAACTTTTTTGCCTTAGAGCTGTTGGGGTAATCTACAACCGTTCCTCCGCCAAAGCCAGCGCGAAGCGCACTTTGAATTATTAAATTCATTTGTTCAGCCGTTTCAGGATAAAACTGTAGTACAGCTATTATTATTAATGATATTATAATTATTAATGTCATTAATAATGTATATTAATTTTTTATATATATAAATTATAAAAATTAATAAAATATAATAGAATATTCAATAAATAATTAATATAAAATAATATATATCTTTTAACTATTAAAGTATAAAATTTCAAAAATTTCATTTTTTTTAAAAAAGTTTAATAAAAAAATTCAATAATAATGAATGAACCGATAAAAGGTTAGTGACGTCCATAAAATGACATAATTCTTTGAATACTACAATTATTATAATAAATAAATAATACATATTCTTATCAATTACATTTTAAAATAAGTCGCGAATAATTTATATAACCAGATTTCTTCTTTAAAATAAAAATTAAAATAAATAATAATTCGTTAATAATTAGACCCTTTAATAAAATACATAATGCCAATGAATAACTCTTACTAGTAAATTTCGAATAATAAAAAACTAATTTATAAGCAATCGGCGCTAAAATAGTTATAAAAAACTACTTGAATTAACTATCGGTACCAATATTAATAAATTCCAAAAAATAAACCAAATAAGGGTTATCGGGATCAAATAAAATCAAAACCAAAAACTGAAAAATAAATACTACCACGATACCCTCCTTTGATTGGTTTATAGTAACAAGCTGACATCACTCGGTCAATAACATTATAAATTATAAAAATGAATATTTATTTGCTTAACTTTTATTAAACTTTCAAAATATTAATTTTTTTAAACTATACTTTATTATAATAATAATAATACCTCTTGAGCCTCTTGATAATACTTTATATAGACTTTGAAAAAAACAATTTAATCGTTTGATTGGATTATGAGACTTTCTATCGGCGTTACAAAGCCACTGAAGAGCCGAAATACTATAATTTGTTTAACTTTAAATATGAAAAAGTTTAACCACCAAAAAAAAATAAAAGTCATTAAAAAATAAAAATAATCAAAAAATTTCATTATAATTCATGCCTCAACGCGCCGTCAAAAGTTCCGGCACGAAAATTAAGGCCTTGGCCCATATCCCGCCAAAAAAGATCACCCTCAACTCCTTGCTCAAGCGCAACGTCTAAATTATATTATTATTATTATTACTATTAATATAATTATTATTGTAGCAAAAAACTTTAAACTCTTAAGTGTAAAAAGTTTATTTTTACTTTTATTTATTAGTCCAGTTAAAAAAATATTAACACAAAAAATAAAGCTTCAGTAATAATAACTTGGAATAAGCTCGTAAAATATTTTATAAAACGAAAGCAGCCAATAAAAATAAATATAAACAGGGTTTTGAAAAGTCAAGGAAAATATATAATAAAAACTATATTCGATGCAAATAATGTTAAACAAAAAAATATATATAGGCATGCGTTAAAAATGAAAAATTCCCGTAAATTTGAAAAGAAGTAGCCAATTAAAAAATTAATTATATAACAATAAAATATTTGGTATAAGCAGGCAGCTGCCAATTAAATTAATTATTAACGACAGTATAGTAGAATTCAACGCACTCATAAGCAGAACAGCCCATAAAAATGGAACGCTAAAAGCAATAATATGCAGCCAATAAAACAATAAACAACAATGAAAAGTTTAAATAGTAATAAATAAACAGCCCATAAACTTAGAATACAAAGAAATTGTAGTGGCCATAATAATGAAAAATAGTCAACAGATACAAATTAAAACAGCAAATGAAACGAAAAGAAGTACTCAACATGTGAGGACTGATATCGATGCCGGTCCAATAGTGGCCTTGCGCTGAAATTTCTTCTCCACTAATTCCAGTGCCGCAACCAATATCCAATAAAAAGCATGACTTCTCCGCCATATATTAAAAGTATACAAATTACTGATAAAATACACGTAATAGCCTGATACGTCTAAAATTTTTAAATTGTTTCCTTATTTAATAAAACTTTGATCATCTACAAAAAAATATTTCAAGAATTCAAAATACTTTAAATTCAATACGGTCTACTTTTCAATTACATCTGTAATGGAAAACTTTTTTTATTATTTTTAAATTTAGGCTGCAAATTATTACAAATACTTTAAAAATATAAATAGTGTCCCTAAAAATAATCCTACTTTCATAATAATGTGATGATAGTAAAGGAAATTAGTTTGATAGAAACTAAAATTATATTAACGAAAGCAAATATATAAAGATATAAAGTCTTATAACCAATAAAAAGCATTAACTTTTATATTTAAATATTTTTAAAAGTATACATATACATAATTTGTTATTATTATTTAATTCATAAAAACTATAAATGTAAATGAATTAATTAAATCTTTTATTCTAAAATAAAAATTAAAAAGAAAATAGAAAATAATGCAATTCTAAAAAATTTAAATTTAAATTCGTAAAAAAAAATAATTTTTCTATATAAAATTTATTTCAATATAAAACTATAAACTTTCATAATAACAATAATGAATAAAACAATAAAAAAAAATTAAAATGTAATAACTTTTAAATTAATTCTGAACAGATAAATTTATAAAACTTTAAACCAAAAAAGTTCATTCATAATAAAATACAGTTCTAAAAGTGATATCTGACCAACTTTGACATAATAGTAATTATCAAAATATCTAAAACAAAAAAAAAATAAAGTTACTTATGAAGTAAAATATAATTTACTTCAACTAATTTTTTTTTAAATACAAATTTACTAATTACTAAATAAATAAATTTACACGATCTGGTAGACATAATAATTCTAAAGCTCTTCTTGTTAAAACGGTTTGTATTTCTCTCATTCTAGAGTTCTGCTGATACTTAGAAGCTTCTCTTTCATTGTAATACTATAAAGAAAATACTTAAGTAATTATTATATTATATATTTGATAATAGTATGAAATAAAGTTAATAGGTGCAGTGTACAACTAGTTAAATTCTTTATGAGCTTGAATACTCTTACGCTTGACTTATTTAAAATAAAAATAAAACTAATTAATAACTGTATAGTTTAAAGGTTTTTTTTTTCAAGAAAACTCTAAGTTAAAAGAATTTTTTAAAAAAAAACCAATTCAGGAGGTGCTGTGTGTTCTGGTCGAGACATTTATAATTAAATGCACAAAAATAAGCAAATTGTTAAAAGAATTATTCTTAAGAATATTTCTATACAGTGCGCACGTGTAAAGAAAATAAGTATAGTTGCTCCAATAGATGAGCAATAGTTGTTTTCGTTCGTTGTCTTCTACTGATAAACGTATAAAGTAATAACTACCAATAAAAAAACGATATAAAATGATAAATGAATTAATTAACAACATTTAATATATTATTTAAAATAATTAAAATTAACTTTATCAACTTATTAAATACTTCGATATTGGCCCACATGAGCTTTGCCTCGAAAAGAAGATATTAATTAAGTTATTACTAGTGACCACGGCAAGTCTATATCGGAGTATCCATACATCACACATTTCCTCCTACTCGTTGAAAAAAAAGTAAAAAAAACTTTTTATTATTTGTCAAGAGAGCTTCCTTTATAAAGCGCGAACCATGGCTGTGTTCCTTTGACGTAATCGAATTCTACCTTAAGGGCTGCTTAAGGGCCGTATTTTTAATACTTGTGTAGGTAATGTACACTCACACCTAACACTACTAAAAGCTGCTCTCTCACAAGGAATTTTCATTCCCACTCTTTGTCTTGAAGCTCTCGACGTGCCCACCACACGCAGCGCTTACCTTATACGCATGTAAAACTACGATTTACTCGTCAAACTCACAAGCCTTACACTGAGACAGCTTCTGCAGTACTACCAAGTGAGGTTTGCCAACTAGTGTCTTCGTTAAAAAATTATTACCAGCGCGGAAAAGAGCAAGCTCCTGTTCAACACAAAGGAACACACTATATTTCGTACCAAGCGAAAAACCTGGAAAGCATTCGTGGGTAATAAACTCCCGTGGTGGCCGCAGGTAAATAATATCGCAGCGAAGGTCGAGGCAGCGGTTTTCAAACTATCCTTTACTTTATGCCAAAAGCAAACTTTCCTTTCACAACAAGCGATGTTTTACACTATCGTGCAAATTGTTTCCATGTTTTGCTTCATTTAATGAAGAATAACTTTTCAATAAGTTAATGGATTACTTTAAAATTTATACACACTAAATTCTATGTTCTAGCTACATTCTGTAAAAACTTGATCTAAAATTGGTTTAATATTAGAAAAGATATGAGCATTTAAAGTTGAAAAATTATAGAAACAAATGTTGCACGTAGAAAAAATTTATTTTAATAAACGAGGTTTAATGAGTGCAGACCCTTTTGTCGGAATCATTGCTTGTATCCTCTTTGGCATACTCACAATCAGATTGTAGTATTGATCCGGTGTTTTATTTTTCCATTCTGATTGTACACGAGTCAAAAGCTCGTCCAAGAAAGCAGGAACTGATTCGTATGATTCCAATTTGCTCTGCAAGGTTCCCCATGCATGCTCAATGGGGTTGAGATCAGGAGATTGCGAAGGCCAGTCTAGCACTTGGAACGACTGTAAATGGAGCCATGATCGCACCGGTAGTGCATTGTGACATGGGGCATCATCCTGCTAAAAAACCATTTCACCAAGACTAAGGCCATATCAATCCCATATCCTGGTTAGGTCATTCTCAATGATGTCTAAATACGTGCTTGCGGTGATGCTCCCTATCACTTTCTCCAAATATCCGACCCCTTTAGATGTTATACAGGACCAAATAATAATCGATCCTATGTTTGTACGTTTCCACCTCCTGGTGACCAAGTATTAGATTATCGCCGGACTGCTTCCTACACCGCCTAATACCATCTGCGCCAGATCATTTGATCTTAATCTCATCCAAAAAAATTATTTTTACCCAGTCAGAAATAGACCAATTTTCGTACTTACTCGAAAACTCAAATCTTAGTCGCTTGTAGCGGTCTGTCAAAGTGGGTTTTATTAACTTTTATGTCGCATAGAGACCAGCAGAATGCAATGCTCTCGATACGGTCGATCATGAAACTGATCTATCTAATGTTGTTTCTATGATTTTTGAAGCTTTTTGGGCAGATTCAATGGCACCCCATGTCACTTGTCGTACAAGTCGAGCTACATTCCGGTTTTTCAAGATCTTTAGATGCCCAAGTACATTTTAAGGGCGATTTGGTTCCTACTGAGCTTTGATACGGGATTTTGTGGCCTTACTGACACCACATTCACTAGCGATCTCAGTATAAACCTTGCCTTCATCTAAAAGAGATTTTACATCATTTTCTTTATCGATTGAAAGTTTACGCATTATTAAATTAAGGTCTTTAAATAAGCTATCCTTTATCACTCAAACGCTTTAAATAAAACCTCTATGAAGGAGTTATTATGAAAATTTCTTTTAAAGATTTGAAACAATTTTGCACGAAGAGGGGGTGACGCGCAAAATCGTTTCAACCGATACTTCAACTTTAAAAAGCGATAATGACTTAAGTAAGAAAGCAATTTCCCTAATAAAAACTACATGAAATAGATCTAAATCTAAACTTATATATATATATGAGGGATCAATATAACAATATTATTAAAGAGTCAAAGGATTTTTATGAAAAAATTTAAAACATAGAAATAGTTTTAAACAATGATATATGTTTTTGGCCAATCATGGACATGAGCGATTACCTGTGTTTACCACTAGCCGGTAATAACCTCTTCGCTTTATGAGGGGCACCCCCTTAACGGAAAAAAAGCATAAAATAATTTATACACCGATAATTTTCAAGTGACATACTTTTTCAGTGGGAAGAACACCCATTTATTTTTAAAATCTTACAATATTTATGTATTACTGTAAGATATCAAACCATATTTTATAAAAACAAAAAGATTAACTGAAAAAAGTATAAAAACCGCATTAAAATACGATAAAAATATATAATAAAACCTATGATTATTCAAAACCAGCATAATTTTCTCAGTACTAATTTGCATGCTCAAAACATATGGAAATATTTATCCTTCTACAGATATAAAGGAAATACTTATCTTTTTGTCTTTGAAGCTAGCTGTAAAGCTTGTCTTTCGCTGGCATCTTTGGCTATGGCTAAAAAATTTTATAAAACCTGTTATACTGTGAACCTGTAGTACGAACGAGCTATATCTCTTTCTCTAATAATACTTTAAGGAATCCTTTGACAGGTACTATCTTTTGGGTTGTATCTTTAGGTTACATTGTCATTTTGATGTTATAGTGATAATGTATCATGTAAGGGCTTCGGTGGTCGACCATCTGTTGCAACTAAAGTAACTATGAAGCTGATTAACCTTGTCATGACTCATTGCTGCTTTTGATATACTAGCTGCATTGCTATATTGCTTATTCTACCGTTTTCTTTTGAGACGACGGGTAGGTAGATCCATTGCAACTATTTTGACATCGGTGAAATGACTAAGTAATTGTAGTACTTTATCTAGAGTGAATAGTTGAGGACGGAAACTCTGGGTGTAAGCACTATAGTTTCATTTTTACAAAAACTGCATGAAAAGGATTCATTAATGAGTGATGCTAAACAGGATTATTCGCTCTTTACCTCGGCGGAAAAAGCCTAGTGAAAAACTGGTACTTTTTCTAACATTTACTAACATAAAATACCACTTTTGAGGTATTTGTACATAAAGCTAACTTAAAACCGGCCAAAAGTTTAGAGCTTATTTTTAAGATACAATATACTTGAAGTTGGTTCTATGTAATAGCACTTTACGAATAGTGTTATGTACTGGTAGATATAGATGTAAGCGGTACATAATTGAGATGTCTTAAAAAAAATTTACGTCCTGAATTCATAGCCAAATTGTATATACTCAAATGTGTGACAGCGAAAAAAATTAGACAAATATTATACTTAAAACTCTATCAAAGCGGTAATAAGGCACATTATTTAGTAAAAAAATCTTGTTGAAAGCTTTTTACAAATGCCAGAGTAAACTAGACTAACCAAATAGTATTTTCTTATGTTTGGATAAGCGTTCATTTTTATAATTAAAAATTAAACCCACCTTCAAGCATTCCTGAGGATTTTCAAAATCTTTTAATTAATCTAGCATATAATAATCTCCTCTAATGAAGGCAGTATACTAAATTTTTACAATGAGTACTAATTATAAAATATTAGCTTTAATTATATGTTGAATAAACTTCATAAATCTCCAAACTGTGACTTGTTAATATTGCCATTATATAGTTAAAGAAAGACGCTTTTTATTAAAAAAAAGTTATCCTATAAGGAAAGAGAAATTTCCATTAACTTTAATTGACTCCTTTTACTGCCAAACCTGTGGGGGGTCTTACACGTAGTGTTCTAGTTTTGTTATATTATACCCAAGGTGCGCTCCTTTATTAAAACCCAAGCTCTTTATGAGTGTTATACTTTCTCATTTAAACGTGTATAATATTAAAGAAACCTTATGTTAAAATAGGTGATGAATATGTTTGTTATTTGCCCTCTTAGTAAGTATTTTTTAGGTTTTTTTGTTTTAGCAATTCAAAAGAGTATAAAGAGATGGCTATTGTTAATTTTGTTTCAAGTCAACCGATAAAGCACGATTTTCAGACAACAATAAAGCATTGGCAGTTGAGGGGTATTACCATACCGACTAACTACCATTCTTTTAGCTATAAAATGTCTATTGTTTGTAAATAGATTTATTGCACAGTCCTCAAAAGAAACTACTTTATTCTGTTGAAAACCATTATATTAAATGTTATGATACTGGAAAAAAGAGAGTATCTACTATTTATATTACTTGCATGGCTAGATTTCTATTTACGAATACACTATTAGTCTAGCACTCTTTCCGCTCTTCGTTTTGATCCTACAGCTCTTAACGCAAGGCAAGTGATAACTAGATTGATGTTTAACTTATAAATGAAGTGTATTCATTAAGCTGGCTTTCCAATTATATTTTTATTTAAAACTTTGAGTGGAAGAAAATATTTTTTTGGTAAAGCTTTTGCCCTGCTTAATATAATTGTAACTTAAGCTTTGGCTACATTGTGGCTGGAGGCCAGTATAACCAATTATATGTTCTGGATACCCTTACTAAAAGGTGGAATTCTTTTATAGTACTGCCTACAAACTTTCCAGATTTTAAAAATTTTATTACTAGGGAATCTAATATTTCGATCGGCGGTTCTATAAATAATTCTATAACAATATACAAACACGAAAGGGAAACTAATATGCTTGTTTCTAACAACGATTTTACAATTAAAGCATTTTCACTTCCGTCTGTAGTGCATATCAGAGATATCCCTTTTTCGGCTCGTATGTTATCGTTTTTCTTAATTATTTTTAGTTTAGAAATTAGTAAGATGTAAATCATTAAAGGATATAACCTTTTTTTAACTTCTTGTAAATACCAATAGTTAAAAATTTTTTACTCTTTTTTTATTAAATTCGAGTTAAAAAAACAACCCATTTACCTCTCAAATCTAATTACTAATATCCTTTAAAGTTCGTACAAAATTAGTTAATCGTTTTATGTAAAGACTACAATGTATATATATAATATATTAAACATTCTCATGGGAACCTCTACAGCGGCTAATTATGGTAATTATATATTTCTGTACTTCACTTTCGCTTTTATTAATCGGTTGGCCGACTTTTCTAGCGGCTGTGACTCCGGACGGGCGCTATATACTTGCCGTTGGCGACTGCGCGATCGGAGAATTTTATGATGCTTGCCTTTTTCAAAAAGTTGGTCGCGTGCAAGGTCTCATAAATTTTATTGTAACGAATAACACAATGAAGTGAACAGGAATGAATAAGAATCCGTCTTAATTTTTCTCATTTATAGTAATATTTAGTACTTAAGTATCTTTTCAGTATTAAAGCAGAAGGAAATGAATTTATTTTATAATAAAGTTGTTGTATAATAATAGTGGAAAAAAATATATTTCACTTTGTAGTGTGCAAGAACGCGGCCTTCTCCTGTTGCTGGGATCACACTTCGACAAAGTTTGCCGTTGCCTGCCAGGACGGTCTCCTTACGAGTTTGCTGATCTTTCCGCTTATTACTGCGGACCTTCGTCAGGTTTTTTGTCCGTTTGGGATTTCCGGAAGTACGACGTTCCTATGAAAACTTTTGAGTCGGAGCAGGCAAGAATATGTGTGGCCGGTGTACTTACCGAGCAATGTGGGTAGCATATTAGCACTAATAGCGAATATAAATCATACATAGTTGAAGTGTAACATAATAAATGTTTTAGCGAAGAGCAGATGTTTTGGTGTTAACGAGTTTAATTTTTTTGCTTTCTTAGTCTTTCGAAAGAGGGGCTTTCAGGAGCGTGAAATTTTCTCCCTCGGGATTAGCTGATTTATTATTTTTTTCTGAGGTTCAGAATTTAAAATCAATATATATTATAATGCAAAATAGAAATTTAAATATTTTATTGTAAATATGTTAAAAGTTTATATCATACAATGAAATAAACTGCTAATTCGCTGTTAAAAAACTTTTATAGAGCAATGACTATTACATACAGTTTAAATTCTATTGAGGCCACTTTATAAATATTTTTGAATTTTTTTTTTCAGCACGAGAGTTTAGCCCACGTGGTCGATGCGAGGACTTTAAACTATAAGCAAACTTTGCGTACTGACGAAGAGTCTTCTTATAGTAAAACGTTTTTAAAAATTAGACTGTTTTTTTTATTCTTATGATACTTTGTAGATGTCAATATTGCTGGTATTTGTTTCTCCCCAAACTGCGAAAGTCTCTTTATTGGTGAATGCTTATATATCTATATTATGATTTATAATATAATAATTTTTTAAGCTCTTTCCTAATAGAAATAGTTTTTTCTCATTTTGTTTTATAAATTATATTTATGAAAAGCGACTGAAAAGTGCACTTATGAATACGTTGTTGACTTAACTCTCCGAAGAAGGTTTCCAATTGGAGAATATAACTAATCAACAGAGTCAGAACTGCTTTTACTAAAATATATTTACAAAGAAAAATAATATTAGCTTAATTATAATAAAATAAATGCATTATAAGTCTCAATAATGAAAAAAATTTACTTTAACTTGTAATAATATACAAGCCTCAGTCGAGCTAAATTATTCTTGTAATATTTTGCATTTGCAAGTGTTCGAAATTTTTTTTGTTTCATGCGTACTTTTAGGCAAATAAAATTTATACATATAAATATTAAAATAATATCGTAACTTTTTTTACGTTAAAAATCCTCTTCAAGAAACTGTTAACTTCGTATACTTACAAATTACTTAAAGATCTGAATGTACAAGTTTGTGTTGTGCGATTAGGGGAATATCATAATTGGGTAGTGCACGAGGTCATAATATATAGATAGTCTATGCAAATTTTTAAGAGTTTGCAATAAAATGATATGTTCATACACAACTTATAAGTACTTTTTTTTGTTTGCCAAAATAACCAATATTGCTATAAGAAAAGCTGAAAGATACTCTGTGGCACTCAAAAGTTTTTTGTCAGTTGTAACACTCCCTAGCTTTTTCATAAGGTAGGGAAACAGCACCCCGACTATGTTAATTGAATTACATGATTGTTGCTTTCTATTTTTAACCTCTTGTAAAGTATTTGTATGGCTTGTTTGCTAATAAATCAACTTTTTTATCTGTTTTTGTCTTCTCTGAGATTAGCGTTGTTATGTTCTGACAGCTTTGCAATATATTGTTATTAATATTTATAGTTTGATACTTTTTCAAAAAACGTATTCAATTCTGCTGCTTTTAATATAGAACTGTCTTACTATGCACAAAGTAATCGGAGACAAGATTAGTGCCTGTGTAGTCCTCTATTACAAATTGTATCCCCTCCGCTATTAGCTTCAAAATTTTCGTTTCAATAAAACCTCTTAGTATTTGCTTTGCCTCTCTCCAAGGTCCTAAACCATAACTTCTAAGCGGCTGATTTACATTTAAAGTTGTGTGAGATCGCGTTCTAGTATAACAAAATTGTAGACACCCGATAAGGTCGTGCTTCCACTAAACTGTTATTGCTTGGAGGGTATTCCAAGCTCTTTGCTTAACTTAAGTCGTATTCTTGATGCAAATTTTTTTTAATAATTTATGTAAACCGGAAGTTATGTAATTATTGTATGATAAATTCAAAGTTTAAACTTGTTGCTTGCTAATTCTTAGTTATGAGAACCTTATTAAAGCGACCGTTGCTCTTATTTTTGGTTAGTATTTTTAAAACAACTAATCATATTGCCTTCTTTCTTCTCTATTAAGTAAAACAGCTAGCTTTTTTACTAAAAATCCTTTTTAAACCTATTCCAAGAAATTTTTTAGGGAAAGTTGTGCTTGCCTTTGCTCCATATAATTACTAAGTTTAATGATAAACAATTTCCTTTAAACTCAATAGTATATATTGTAAGTAAAACCTACTTGAATTTTAACTAGTAACCAGACATCCGTTATATCTATGCATGCCTATTTGTTACGACTTAAAAATCCTTAGGATCCTATTAAGATAATAAAGCGCACCAAAATTACAATTAAAAAGTAAAAGAATAATAAAAGTATAAGGTAGTTCAATAAGTACAATTTATCATAAACGAAATAAAAATATATGAAAAGAGAAGGATTTAGACAATAAAACTGAGGAAGGAACGTAGGGGATAAGAAGTTAAAACTAGAACCTAGATCATGTAAAAGAAATGCAAGACGCACTTCACTGTAAAAAATATGATAAGAATCAAGAATTTCCCTCTCGGGCGCAAGCCTTTTATCTAAGAGTTAACCCCAGGATACATGAAAGTTAGGTGTTCGAGGTAAACAACATGTTCTCAATTGTAACACTTTTAGAGTAAAACTGAATATAAGTATCCAGTAGCGGTAAATATAACCTTGCCGTCTATCACAATACCATTGGCTTCATACCTTTGTAATAGTCCACTCCACATCTTAACAAAATTCCTTTAAGGCGTAGTTTTAACTTTTATGAGCCATCGTCCTTTACTCTGCGAGACCGTGTTGTAAACTTTTAAAAGCCCACCGTCTCCTGAGCTCCAGACGTAAATATTTCAAGTATAAATATCACTAAAGTAGTTGCTACTTTTAAAATTTTGATTCTCTCATTACATAAGTGCTTTACTTGCAATTTTAGAGAAAAAAAGGTTACTGTAAAAGAATCGAATTTTATCTCATAACTTATATTGCTGTTAACTTCACTATCTAATTAGAAAAATAATTTTTTTAAAGTGAGTAATTCCACCAAAAAAGGAGGTCGCTTTTCATTATCAAAAACTTTGACTTGGACCCTTTGATGTATTTTTAGGTTTTCCGTTTGACAAAAATTTCTTTTTTCTGACAGCCTCTTATAATCTGTGTAAGTTCAATTTGTGTCGCTCTAACTGTGCCGGAAACCAATGCAACATTCTTGGTATTAATTTTTTTTTCAGAAACTTTATTGTGTTCGAATAGTTGCCAAAAAATGATGTTTCTATTTACTTTACCAGCCTTTAAATTGTATATTTATCACAAAGTTTACATAAGTCATTTGCTAAGCTAAGAGATATACCTTTTGATCCATTGTTTACTAGTTTTTTTAGGCTTTATAGCGTGAAAGATGATGCCAAACATAATATTAGTTAAATAAAGTTTAATACCTTGATAATATTTTCAAGCAAAAATTATATCCGGTTAGCCTCGTATGTAGTATGATTCTTGCTTGCGTTCGGCCTTTAATAATTTAGCGTTAGTATTACCTTGGTCATTTTTTTTAGTCTGCAGCTGTATACCCACTATCGGGTTGCGAGGGGGGGTTCTTGGCACGTTATAAGTTGGGGGGTGATGCTTTTAACTCTACATATGTAAACCCAAATTATAATTGTTGTGCGTCAACGAATTTTTTGTCTAATATATTCTTCTGTGTTCTATTCTAAATTTCTTTAAATATAAAATTAGCATCTCCCTTGTTTCTACAAAAGTTATTTTAACCAAATCTAGGTTTTTTACGGGCCAAGTGCTGTGATAGCCCAGATACGCCAGCCCAATAGGCTTATTACAGGGGCCGTGTTAGTTTACATTAGCTCTTCACAAATATTTATATAACAAAAATTCTCGTCTTAAAAGATGTAAGAAAATAGTAGGTGGCAAAAGACATTAAACTGTCTTCGTATAGAAGAAAGAACTAAATATGGGAATTCTGTATTTAGGAACATGCCGAGTGATTTTGTAGTGAATGTCTTCTTGTCTTGATAAAAATAAATATTATATTATAAACTCTTGTGAGTCTCATAGAGATTATAGAAGGCCTTTACTTCTCAAGCTTTCTTTTCCAAGAACGTAGCCTTTGCTTAGTTTACTTACCCTTTCGTCGCCTCACATCCTTTTTTTATTTAGATATTGCTAGGTGATACAAGCAGGGTTTCGTATGCTTCAGATCTCTTGTATTAATTAGTAAGAGCGAAGCCTATTGCTTTTAATTATAATAAAGACGAAAGACTGTTGTAGAGAGATAGTTGTTTTTCTTTTTAAAACATGGTTTGGTTTTACCCTCTGAAAGTTTTTTGAACGGTAAATGAAATAAAGGGTAACTACTTTGTAAAACGTTTCCTGAATATTATATGGGATAGATACGTGAATTATTTCATATAAGTCCTTGGAGATTTTAGTAATTTTATTAACACCAAAGGTTAGCTAAAAATTTTTCAGTGTAATAAATAAATATATCAAAAGCTTTTAAATTATAAAAAATGTTTTTTATTTTTGACATAAACCGAGCGAGAAAATGAAAAAAGGGCTTTAACGTTACAACATAATATTTAAGAGTAAAAAGAAAGTTGTGGAGAAATAAAAACCTAGTAAATTATTTAAGGTGGCAAGGGATGGTAGCTTTAAAGGTTTTAATCAAACCGAAGCACGCGGTAGATAGTAATGACGTAGAAAAAGTACAAATGAACTTCTTTTACAACTTAAAACTCCTAAAATTACATGGGGGGGGGGGAAATTCCATTCTTTCCAAATGCAGAACTTCACAAAGCAAGCAGCGTATTGCGCTTAGCGATAAATTATGTATATTTATTTTCGTTTACCAGTAGACTGTATCCTTCTATGTCTTCCTTCACACATTTTATTTGTATTTCCTTCTTCCTCCGCTAGCTTCATGGCTTGATTATTACTTTCCAGTTTGAACCTTGTCCACATTTTATTCACGTGTCCTTAACTTATTCCGGTGTAGTTACTCTTCTATTTTGTTAATATTAAAGCTATTTATCTTTTTGTTTGTAATAACTAAAGAGCGCGAGTATCTTTTTAAAGTCATGAGAGTAGTCGTTGAAGGTTGTTGTCACGGTGAACTTGATAAAATTTATCATACAATAGAGGAAATTGAACAAGTTATTCATGATAAAATCGATTTATTACTTATATGCGGTGACTTTCAGGTTTTTTTATACTTCAATGGGCTTATTTTATATACATTACTTTTTATTACGCAATCATTATTACTAGGCCGTGAGAAATCAGAGTGATTTAGCGTCCTTGGCTTGCCCATTAAAGTATCGCAAAATGCAAAGTTTTTATAAATACTATAATGGGACTATAGAAGCTCCAGTTGCTTTTTTAAAATATTTCTTACTTTTATTATATTTTTTTTAAAGTTTTTTTTTTAGCTCTTAACCATCTTTATCGGCGGAAATCACGAAGCTTCAAACCATTTGCAAGAGTTGTAAGCTTCTTTTATTATAATTATATAGTATTTCATTTTTATATTTATTTTTATGTGTACATAGATATTTCGGTGGTTGGGTAGCGCACAATATATATTATTTGGGATCAGCTGGTGTTATAAATGTTAACGGGCTCAGGATTGCTGGCCTTTCGGGTATATACAATTCGAAGCATTACCACTTGGGTAGAATTATAAATTATAAACTATAACATTAAAGTCATATGAAGATTTTATTATTGTAGGGCATTACGAAATACCGCCTTATGATTCTGATGAGCTGAGAAGTGTTTATCACGTTCGTGCTTTCGAAGTTTGGAAGCTAAAACAAGTTTATTATACTTTATTAGTGAATTTTTTGTATTAGTTTTTTAAATAATTTTTTTTAATTTCCCATAGCTTTCAGGTCGCATTGATATTGTTCTTACACATGATTGGCCGCGAGGTATTCATTATCACGGAGATGCTAAAAAGCTGCTCAGGAAAAAATCTTTTCTAACTCAGGAAGTATATATTAAATTTTTCATTTCTGTCTATAATTAATAAATATTTTTTAATGCAAGCTTCTTTCCAACACACTCGGAAGTCCGCCCAACGAAGAGCTGTTAAACTGCTTGCAGCCTGCTTACTGGTTTTGAATTAGCATTCTTTTTATAAGCATTATTTAAATTTTATATATTTTTAAAAAAAATTTTATTAATTAAGTTATTTTTTTTAATTCGAAGGTTTTCATCTCATATGCACGTTAAATTTCCAGCTATTGTTAAACATCAGCATCCAAAAGATGTTAGTAGATATATACTTTTTATAGTTACCTTTAGCTCTTCATCAATTAATCGTTTAATAATTAGAATTAAAATTTTGTTTGTTGATTTTTATTATTGAAAACTTCTGTAAAAGTAAAAAATTTTAAAAGTTTTGCAATTTATTTTAAGGAAAGTATTTTAGAAACCAAATTTCTTTCACTGGATAAGTGCCTCCCTCAGCGTGACTTTTTGCAAGTAATTGATTTTCCTCAACAACCGAAAGGCCTTCAAAAGTTTGCTTACGATCAAGAATGGTCTTAAATTTTATTTAAAGTTTACGAAAGTTATGTAGTTATTAAGAAAATTGCTGTTGAATTTAAGAAAACAGTTATTATTCTTATGTTTGTGAATCTGAAGGATTAAATTAAAAATTAACAAACGGGAACTCTTTTGCACCGAAAAATTTAATTTTTCATATTTACGTAATGCCTTCAAACCTTTTTTTGGCGCGTCAACCAACATTTTACAACAAAAAAAATTATTTTATTTTTCTAAGAAAATTTTTAATGATATATATATTGTTGTTATATTATAGTTTAGGCTACCTTAATTGTTTTAAAAATTTGAAAGGTACTGTAACTGAAGTTAATAAACGGAAAATTATATCGCACAAAGTAATTAAACTCTGTTGATCCCAACTTCTGTCTTATAATAGTTAATGCCTTTAAATATATATCTTTTTTTTGGCGCGCTACTCAACTTTTTACTTACAATTATTTTACAATTAACTTTTAATAATGTGTATATTGCATTCAACTTTGTTAAGGTTACTATAATTTTTTTTTATTTTTTAAGAAGTCACAGTAAATTAAAAATTATAATTGGCAACCTTTTTAGCAAATAAAGTAACTTTGTAGCTCTAAACTGTTGCGTAATTATAGTTTTTTTTGGCGCGTTACTTAACTTTTTACTATGAAACTTAATTATTCATTTTTAAATAACATTTTAAAAATATTATATATATACTTTTAGTTCTGTAATTGTTTTCAAGTCTTAAGTTTACACTAAAATTAAATTAGCAAACAAAAACTTTATCGCAAAAATAAGTAAACTGTGTTAGTTGATGCCTTTCTTTTTTATGAAACATTTTTGGCGGTTTGAATAAACCGCCTTTTTGTTTTTAGCGTGTGATATCGACATTCATTAATAAATTTAAAATTTTTTAATAACTTTTTATAGTATTTTCTATTATTATCAATATGTCGTTATTAAGCTTTTACTTGTTATTAAATTAGGCTTGCCATTACCAAACTTTCGCACCGCTATTTTTCCACTGCTCGGAGTTTAGTGCCGTTACCAGAAAAGTGCCTACTTTTTTGTTAATTTTTTTTATTAGCTTATTTTTAATATTTACATATAGTATTCTAATATTAGAATTATTAAAAATTTTATTTATTATAAGTAGAAATTGGACATATTTTTATTTAGCTTTTTAGTAGATTTACGGTCTGTAGTGAACATTTTGCTTTACGAGTATATATATATATATTTACGTAACGTTTTTCAAATACTTTTCTGTATTTTAAAATTTAGGCTCGACCGAGAAGAAATAGAAAAAATACGAGATTTGTATAAGGAAAGTAAAGACCTTCAAATTCCTCACAATTTTGTTATAACGGAGGGCAAGTACGATCCACTACATCCAGACTCTCCCATTCAGAGTAATAATATTGAATAATTTTAAGTAGCCAAAAAAAAACTTCTATTATTTTTTTAGTAATTGTAAATTTTAACAGAAAATTTCAATTTATATATCAATGTAGCTTTTTAAAAAGAATATTTTGTTATCAAAATTAATCTATAAATTATTTATTACGGTAATCCTCTTTGAGAACCTTTAAAGGAAAATCCCCAAACGACTGCTTTACTAGAATTATTACAGATTTCAGGGCCAATTTATAATTATCATAAAGAACGAGAAACTTCGAAGGATTTGCCTAAAGAAAGTTATAATTATTTTTTTTTAGTTTTTACTTATCGATTATACTTGGAATATGGTAATCCTAACTAAATTTTTAACTCGTTATATTTTATTAGAATATGCTAATCCCGACGAGATTCAACTTGAGAGTGACTGATTCTTTAACTTTGCCTGTTGACAACGTTGCGAGTCCCGCTGTAGAATCGCTCGCGTTTGTCAGCGGTTATAGCCAGTGCAAAGTTTTTTTCGTGCTGAAAAAGAATAAAATTACTATAAAAATATTTTTTTCGGCATTCCCCCTAGCGTTGAATTTTTTAAATATAGCCACGTGCTATTTAGCTTGTAATAATGTTTGCTATGAAGTATTAATACAAGTACATCCTCTTTTTGCGGAGAATTATTTCGTAATTTTTATTTAGATACGAGTCGTTTTCTTGTTTACCTTAAGAAATGATTCTAAAGTTAAAGTAAATTAAGTTCATAAAGATTTGCGAAAAAACTTTTTTTATCAAATAGCCAGAAATTAGAGCTGAGGTGATTTACGCGTAGAAATTACCATCATTGCGTAACAGCGTTTGTTATGACGAGCAGCGACGATGGGAAAGTTGGTACTAATCGATAAAACAACGTTAATTTTACACTAATAAAATGATAGCCATTTGAGTAAACAACGCTGATTAAAACTAAATATATTTTAATACAAAAATTTGCGGAAAAAATCTTTGTAAAAAATCTAATACCTCGAAAATGGCTGGTTAATAATGCCTGTAGCTGCACCTCCTTTTTCCTTCTCTTATGCTTTTGTTTGGTTATTAATGCAATGCTGCTTGGGATATTGCCAATAAAGCGAGAAGGCGCACTTCGCGATGGGTAAGACTATTGAGGCTGCTGAGTTGCATCGCCTAAGAAATGTGTCCACGAAAGAAAACAAAAATTTAGGCACGGTTGTCAACAAAAGGCTTTTGGTCATGCCGGGATAGGAGCCCTAACCTCTTTGAGTTGTCTACAGGTGTATTTTGCATTCGTACCGATACCGACCTTCACCGCTGCTCTTTCGCTCGCTGCAGGATTTTTTGAATGCTCTGCTTTCCTCGTTGTTGTTCTTGCAGTATTTACACAACATCCCATCTTGTGTACTTGAGCAACACGCATTCTCTTTACGCTGACGGCAGAGCAAACGATTCGTTCAGGGATTTTAGGTTAACACATCTTTTAGGATGCTGATTGGAAGTACTTACATACCGGTAACGCGGTTTAAAGCAAAATGTATATCATGCCTTTTTTTTTCCGGATGAAATCAGGAGGGTTACTTTGACACCATAATTTCTACGCAAACGTTGTGGCGAAAACCGAAGTAATGACAAAACTGGAGAGAGAAGTGCGCCGTTGATAAACAGCTGAGAAGCTTCCGATCTACCACTAAAAGCCCCAAAAAGGTGCAACGTTACCAACACTTCGCTTAACATTTACATCATTGATTACATGGAAACAATAGAACAACTAAAAATAAAGACATAACACTGGCAGCTCATGATAATTTAATCAATGTGATTTAATAGCAGAAACTGTTCGTAATTACCCCCTATCGAGAAAAATAGGCAAACATCTTCCGTTGGCTCGCAATATATAGACATACCTTTGAATCGCAATAATTAAAAGTTTTGAAGCATAAACATATTATAAAAAATTAACTTTACCCAACTAATATAAAATATACTGATTTAACAGTTTAGCTAGCAATTTTAAAGCAATTACATTAAATAGAGGGCTAGAGATTGGCAGTAGTCTTCTTTTCCTAACGAAGAGCTATGCTGGGCTTGTTAACGAAATTGGGCTTAATAAAGGTCGTTTCTAATTCTAACGTAGCGCGCTTCAAGACATGGAAAGGCTCATTCTCTAATATCTCGAAAAAGTAGAAATCTAAAAGTTAAAAAAAAAATTAATAGTAATATATTTTTTTATACGCAGACACGACTATAATACGTGTTGGAATTGCAAAGGAATATTTGCTTCCAACAATATTTGTCCCTTTTGCAAAAGTTTGCAACCCCCTAAAGTTTACAGCTCTTATTTTGACTTATTAAATTTGTGCGAAATTCTTTTTTTTTTATGTATTAAAGTTTCTTTAACTTATATGAATCCTATATAAAAATGAATATTACCTTCACTCCTACAGAAAAACAGAGTTTGAAATTGACCAAGATCTACTAGCACAAACATATAAGCGCTTACAGACATTGTTTCACCCTGATAAACTTTTAAATAAACCTAAGGTTATTTTACTTTTAAATAAAATGTTATTTTTATTATCTTTCTTTTTACCCTGATAAACTTTTAAATAAACCTAAGGTTATTTTACTTTTAAATAAAATGTTATTTTTATTATCTTTCTTTTTAGAAGGAAAAAGCTTTGTTAGGGTTTGTGTCTGCAACGATCAATGAAGCTTATACCACCTTAAAGGATCCTTTAGCGAGGTCACTCTACTTGGTACAGTATACTTGCTCACACTTTTGCTCAAAGCTTTTAAGTAGTAAAGATTTTTATTTTGCTGTCAGCAATATTTATATTTACATCTTTAGTTTAGTTTATTGTATTAATAAATTTATGAAGACTATTTTAAATAAGTAAACTATTAAGTTGGAAAATTCGCCTATATAAAAAAAATTACGAGCACTTTCAATTCTTTAATCATATTCTGATAAATTGGTTTTTAACTAATTATTCTTTTCTTAGTTAAAATTAAAAGGTACTGAAGTATCTGAACATGACAAACTTAATGATTCCAAATTTTTGGGTGAAATAATGCAATTAAGCGAGGACTTGCAAGAGTGCTCCTCACCTGAGGAGCGATTATTCTTGGTAAACAAAATTATAAAAGGGAAGGAAAAAATCATGGACGAATTTAAAACTGCCTGGGCCAACGGGGATTTAAAAGTTCTCGCTACTTAAAATATGTATTTAATAAATTGAAATTTTTATTACTAACACTAGGAAGCTAAGATGGCTGTTATAAGATGGAAATACTATAACAATTTATATAACAATATTTAAATATTACATAAAATAAAGCGTTTTTTTTAAAACTTTGAAGTTTTATTACATCTATAGAATCTTGTATTGGTTCTTTTCACTTATCGCAAAGATCTGTAAAATTTTATTCGAAGGAATTTAAATCCTTTATAAAAAAAATTATTAGTATTCTTAAGGAGTTGTAGTAAAAAAAACCATCTCAGCCGCTTTGAGCGTGTTTTCAAGCTTAACAATTTTGTTATTAAGCGTTGACAGACGAACCTTAATCGCTCTGTCTATATTAAAGATTAAAATAAGTATGTAGCCTTATAAAATTTAAATCTCGTTAACACGTAAATGAGGAGGATATTAAAAGAGCAAACACACAAACAACTTGAAAGCTGAGAACCGATACAACTTAGATTCTTGCTTAAACTGTAAAGACACGCAGCTAAACGCTCAGAAAGCATCTCCTCTTTTTCTTTCACTATTATGATATTCATGATAAAAACCTAAAATTAGCTGGTATATAATTAAGGCAAGTCACACGCTATTATAACAAGGAACCGAGTTTTTATAACGTACGATCCTTGAACAATAATCACTCTTCTTCGTATGTAATAATGCTTAACTTAACTAAAACTTCTCCAGCGTTAAAACACTAAAATGTTAAAAGAGAAATAGCCACTTTTATTACAAATTATAAACGATAAGAATTTTATCTAGGAAGAGCAATTTAAAAAAAGGAAAATTAGTAAAAATTGAGCACCGCTGTAAATTACTAATTAACTTCCGTTAGTTAAGCTTTAAATTCGAGGGCACTTTAAGATTCGAGTTCAAGCTCGGTTTCAGGCTTTTTACTTTTCACGATGCCCCCTGTTACTTCCCTACGAAATGTTATGTATGGTTATTGCTGTCTTCATTGCCACTTTTAAATCTTGTCGACTTAGTATTTCTTCTTACTACTAACATGACTACACTATTACCTTTTTATACCCTTGTTACTTTTAACACAAAATTTCTTCTATTAACACACGTAAGAGTACCTATTGATGCGGTATTGATCCTTTGGGATTTTTAATTCTCCAACTATAGTTGCATTCTAATGTTTTTTATCAACTATCGTAGAAATTGACTCTTCTAGTGTTTTAAACAACCTTAAAGTTGTAGGTTAACCTCGAACCTTTAGCACAAAATCTAGACCTTTATAGTGCTCCTTTACTCGACTCAGTCATAGTAAAAATTATCATGTTTGTTACTAGCGATGAGAGGCCATACCTATTATCCCCTAAAAAATATTATCTCTTTTTCTGAATCGGTTCACAATTCACGTACGGTTGTTAACAAAGGGCGTTAATCTAAGTGCGGCGTGACGTCACACTGGCTCGTTCTCAAGAGAAAACAATTATAGAGCCGTTGAACTCTAGACAAAAGACGGCCATAAAGTGTCGAGGCAAAGATGACTTCGCGATCTCTCGATCAAATTAAACAAAGCTGGCCACAAAAAAAAAAGTAACGCCCCAACTGGGCGTTGTCAATCGTGAGCAACATAAACTTGAAGAAAATAAAGAAAGCAACAGAGTTTAACGAGTTAAAATACAAAAAGCTGCAACTTTTGCTTCGTAACTTTACTTAGACTAGAAAATTATGTAATTTCTATATAAAAGAATACATAAAAAGAATAATTTCTATAACTAGCCCGAAAAGAGAAAGAATAGTATAACCGAAGAGAAACAGAAACAAATCAAACTTAAAAAGTTTAAATAGTAGTAATCTTGCACATAAATAAGTGACCCGTGTTGTAGCCAACGACGCTACAAAAAGAAAATAACAACACGAGCGAAATCTGTACATGGCGGTGTATTCGCAATTTAACATATTAATGCGATAGTAAACAACTTCCAACCTAATAAAATTCAATAAATTCTGTATAGTTTGTCCCAAAAAAAATTAATAAAAAATAGGAAAAATATAGAGATGTAAGAAAAAACTTTAAGTAGAGGAATAATATACTTTATAAATTTTCGAGTTTGTACTGTAATGCACAAACACGAAAAAAAAAAGTATTCTTTCAAAAAAAATTATTACGCGCCATTAAGTAAAACCTGTCAAAAAAAGATGACCAACAGTGTACGAATTCTCCGTAATAAAAATCATACAAAAAATCCCAATTTTATTAAATAATAAAAACGAAGTGCGCTTAAATTTCTCTAGCAAATAGTTCAAGAACGTGAGCATGAACGTGAACGTGAACGTGATCGGCTAACGGAACTAAAAAAATCATCAATAAAATTACTTCCAGTACTGCATAATTTTCACTGGAAACTACTTACTGCTTGCGATCGCGATCGCGATAGCGACTGCTGCTGTAGCGACTGCCTCTGCTATAACGCGGCGAGCGGCTGCGACTGCGCGTGCGACTTCTGCGGCTATAACGAGGCGAACGCGCACGAAATGAGCTTCGAGACCGGCTTCGACTCCGCGAAGGACTGCGAGATCGGCTTCGTCGGCGACTAACACTTCGGCTGTTACTGCGCGTGAAGCTTCGAGTTCGACTAGATTTAATTTAAAAAATATTGATATTTTGGTTATATCAATATAAATTATATAATTTTAATGTCTGAATTTTCTACCAACGACAATACCGACCGACTCCCAAGTTGAAACGGATCAGGAACTAAAAAAAATCTAAGAACCATTACATACCAAAAGACTGGTCCCATCCAATTCCACTAATTTTTCATTCCGTTCTCACATAAACTTATTATATATTATATCCTTTATATTAATCCAAACATTTTCCAAGAAGATTAATTAAAATCTGCCTAATCCGTCCTGAATAAAGAATATTCCAGTAAATTTACAATCCTCCTACTGTCCAACCCTCTCTTTAAATGGTTTATTCAATAACTTAATAAAACTACAAACTCCCGCATAAAAAAGGAACCGAGAAGATACCTTCTTGATCTCCCTCTATAACCTCGTCGGTAGCTGTCACGGCCTCTGACGCTTTCGCCACAGTTTCGAGCTAAGTGTCCGGGTTCCCCACATTTAAAGCAATTCCCACTACGGCAATCCCCGCTCCTAACAAACAATATTCATTAAAAAGTTAATAATATAGTTAACTAACATTGAAATTCAGATACCCGACGGTGTAAGGGCAGTCTCTAGCCCAATGATCACTCTCGTTACAAACAAAACAACGGTCACCAGTAGATCTTTCTCGGCGGTGGCCTGAGCTGCGTGAAAGTTCAACGACAATCCTAATAATATAGAGTTGATTGAAAAATTTCAGTTTTTAATAATAAATAACGTGTTAAAAAAAAAAGGAAACCTTTGACCGTCAAACTTTGTATAATTTAATTCACGAATGGCGTCGTCTGCATCTCTCTGTTCCTTGTAATCAATAAAAGCTGTAGCAAATACACACTTAGAGTCGTGTACATACGAGGTCTCCAGCGTTGTTAATAATAACTTATATACAGAAAACATATAAAAAATGTACCGTATCCAGACTTTAAATCGATTTTTTGTATGCTACCGAACTCAGAAAAATGTTTTTCTAAATCACTTCTTCGTACATTACGAGATAAGTTACCAACGAAAATGCGCGACATAGTAAGCAAGCGAGGAACGTGGAAGAAAAAAGTACGCGCGTGCAGTAAAAAATTGTGGTATACGTTTTAGCCCTAATTAATAGTATCGTTGGCTTTAGCGTGAGTGAGGTGGTGTTTACCTCCACTCCTCCTGCACCTCTTTTTCTAAGAACTAATTTTTAATAAAATTATTTATTAATTTATTTAATTTTTTGAGCTCCAAATGAAATTTAATGTTTTATAAAAAGTATTAAGGCAGGTACAGTTCTGTCTTCTCTTGTTTATTTTGAATTTTTAATCTTTTTTATATATTAATTTTTATTACTTTTCTTCACTGTATTTTTAAATATTGAATTTTTTTCATTAGCTACAACTTACCGAGCTTAAAGTTTTATATACACTTAAATAGCGACTTTTGCTACAAACTAACAAGAACAGTACGTTTTAAAACTGCTTAGTTAGCCTGCTTTTTAAAAATTATTGAAAATGACCTAACGCTATCGCTGTTCTTACTTTTATTATATACATAAATTTTAGTTTTTAGTAAAAATATATAGCGTTTCATAGAAGTTATTTTCCTTTATTAGCGCATGACAAGTTAAATTTATAATAAAATATTATGTTGCAAATTTATGTTCTTCAGGAATTAATATTATTTTTCTTTGGTATTTTTTCCCTTCTTTTTATAAGATATATTTTAAAATACTATACTATTAAATTAGAGTGATTTTTTTATTTTAAAACAAGTACTTATGGAACTTACTCTTAAAACATTTTTAGTTTCGAAGTTTTTAATAATTATAAATGGTTTAACGCTTCTACTGTGGTTTTTGTAAAGGATAACATTTAGGATTTATTCGCAAGCTTAATTTTTACGGTGATGCGATCCATTTTCAGATAACATTCTATAAATCAATTTTTTTAACTGCTTTAATAAATATACTTAATTATTGCCGGTTTTTTAAAAAAAAAGAACAACTTAATGAGTCATTTAATTGCAAGGTAAAAGAAAAGCTATAAAATTAATTTTTACTAAAGGAAACCTTTCTAAAATTTAAAAAGAAACGGTGAGATTAGGCAATTTAAAAATGCCTTATTTGCATATTAGCAAAAAAACTTGTATTTATAAATTTTTTGGCTAAAATATATATTTTTTGCGACAAGAGATTGCCAACAGAAATATTTTTATTGTATTTATAAACTATTTTTACCCAGAAAGAAACTGATATTGACAGGCATCACGCTGTATAGTTTGCTATATGACTTTCCCTCACGTGACTATGGTGCAATGTTTAATGCATAAGGCGAGTGGTGCGGAGCGTCTTTTAAAGATTAACAATTTCGTAGAAAAAACGTCAATATCAGAAGGGTAGAAAAAAGCATTAAACATACTATGTTGTTACTGCACTCTATTAAGAGCATAGAAGAATAATTCTGTTGTCTAATCTTGGTCGGCGGTAGTTTATAGTTTACATTTAAAAGGTCCCTATCTCTTATTTGTGTTGACTAAAAGGTTTATAGCCATTAAGGTACATATATATTGTAGCTAAGGCATGTTTGATAATTTGAATTTGGTTCTTTTGTTTTATATAAATTTAGTTGAAAAAACTTATTTAATAGCTTTTATTCCCCAAAAAAATCTGGCTGTCTGCCATATGATCCCATGAGGCCGAGATTTATATATGTAAAGAGTGTCGCGTCAGCAGAAATAACCATGATATTGAGTTCACGCATCAGACCTCTTAACTGCTGAACTACAACTTTTATAACAGGGCCTGTTTAAAAGCAAAGAAATAGGCCACCTTTTCTGCATGTGCAACCTGCAAATTGATTCAAAAGTGTTAATAAGATATAATTAAAAAATATTTAAAATATGTATTATCATATCCTTATTTATAACGGATTAACCCTATTGAAAAGGTTTATTTGACCACTTGGACTTAGATTTTTGCTATATTTCTCGATGCTTAAAAAGGACTCCTAAGTTTTCGAAGTAGCGGCTACCCTTCTCGACCGCAAATGGGACCATGCTTGATAGAGAAAATCTTAAGCATCCGTTACGTCTACCTCACTATATAACTAGTAAAAATCAATCTTATTTTCTAATCTTCCCAAACTATCATGATTTTGATAAATTTGTTACTTAGGGACCTCCTTAGTTACCCTTTCAAAGCGTATCCACAACTCCCCTTCAACGCTTATATACCTTTCTAATAGTTCTAAAAATCGTGTTATATGTCTCTTTTTAACAAATGAGACAGAGTGTGATCACCGTCATAGCTTTATAACAGGGATTAACAATTACAATATCACCGCCATTTACCTATCCCCCTACTAGTATTTCAAACCCCCATTTTTTGTTAATCTTCCCTTTTTAGTCGTTTTGTCGGTCTCTGCAATACCTACTTACTAAGTAATACAGTTATTATGCTCCAATTTGGTGCTGCTATAAACTATGCATTTAGTTCTACATACGTTTTCAGTCAGCTGTTAATAGGTCTAGTTCTCTCTATTATAAGACGCATTAACCTACTTGAGATTTTTTTTATCATTCAGTTATAATTAATTAAATGATAAATTAAGAAGTGCAAATAATACTGTTAGCCTTGCTTCTTTGGCCGAGTCCTTAATAGAACTATATTTTGTTTTTAAATTTTGTGGTCCATTAATTTTAGTCTCATTGTTTTTAAAATCACTGCCACTACTGTTGCAGCTTGAGTCAAGCGCTTTGTCAATATTTGTCTATGATCACTCGGTTATATAAGTTCCTATCCCATATAAGCAATATCCCGATAAAATTTATTTTAGTCAACATTAAATAAAACTTTTGAAAAAACCTTTTAAGCAATGCAATGAGCCTTGCACTGCAAATGAACGCCACACATATGGTATAAAAAATGCTGCACTTTCTATGGCTAAGTTAAAAGTTTAAACTTTGATAATATACCAACTAATTAATATGAAATGTTATAATATAAAATAAGTTTAGCTGTCTTTATATTCGTTATGGAGGTAGTAAATTAGTTTTGTTTCAACTATTGACTTAGCGGAAAGTTAGTCTACGTAAAATAATTAACAAAACTGCATAAAAAAGTTGCGTTGTTTTAAAAATGGTGACTTAAAAGAGATTGTAAGCAGTCAAAAATGTCTCGAAATAAGGGAAACCTACAGTGCTATCCATTTTTTCTTCGCCTATTCTCCGCACTATATTAGTAGCGTAAATATTTATTTTCTTTTAAGATAATTATCGCAATTTTGAAAAGGTTAGAATTATAAAAAGAGAGCTATAAACTACTTATACAGAACAACTTCAAATTAATATTATATGTAACCAGGACAACTATTAGCGGTGTTTTAAGAAATTTTAATTTCACTAAGACGAAGTTTGTAACTCAAAACAAACAGCTTCAGTAAGTTTACGAAAAACACAAAAAAAAGTGGTTAACAAAAAATAGTGCCATTCTTGTAGACATGTACGAGCAGTTAGAATACCAGGATAATGCATTCTTTTGGGTATTAGAAAAGTTTTACAACTTAATTATGCTGGTGCGCGCACCTATTTAACTCCGTTTTTTATATAAAAACATTTGCTTAAAAGGCATTGATAAGCAAAGTTAGCTATAGCAACCAAACTTTTTTTAAATGTATTGAAAAAATTTAAGATACTTAACGGCAAATGTGATCTTTACGAAAAAAAAAATTTCATACCTGATATTTAATTGATAGTCTAAGTTAATTAAAAACGCTCGTTTTAGAAAAAGATGTCACAATTAAATAAAAATGTTTTCTGCTAAACTTAACAGGATTAACTTGTTCTCATCAAAAAAAACTTGAAGCAAAATCACTAATTTCCAAAATGAATCTGGACGTGCACCTAAAAAAAGAAACTTTAAGCTATTAAATAACGAATCCAATGACTTTTTTTTTGTAAAACGTTGCATTAAAATATACTTAAACTTTTTTTTACTCACTAAATTTTAGTCATGCCTTTATTTATTATAATTTACTCTATTCTTACGGTACATTATAAATAATTTTTTATTAAGGAGACATTTTTTAAACTCTATTATTAGTTTGCTCCTGCCTTACTTTCAACGAATTTCTCACAATTAATGAATCGCAAAATCCTTACACTTTCTGGTAACAACTGTTTTAGTATACCAAACGATGAACGACTTAAAGTCTCTCTGCGGGTCTACGAAATGAACTTCTTGTTTCCAAGCCGTAAAGGACATCACTTTTTCTGTTTAGCTTCTGCTTTACACCTAGCATTATTTATTTATTACGTGAAACCATCGCTTTTGGTGGAGGTAATAGTTTGCAAAGGCCAGAGTTATTGAGATGTTTTGTATAATGAAAAGTTTAAACTTGTTATCAGGGAATTTGCTGGAGTAACACACGCAGAAAAAAGAAGGGAAAACCATCTGAACTTATATTTTAATGTTTACTTTTGCCTTTTCACTGTTTTCTTTTAGGTTTACTCACTAACAGAATTTTTTTTAATTCTAAGAGGTAATTTAAAATTAAACCACACAACACTCTAATTATAAAAATGTTTAGTTGACTTTAATTTTTTTTTAATTTTACTTTTTTTTATAAAAACCCTACCACTCTCATCCCTAAAGTCTTTAGTTGAACAAATTTGGGGGTAGTGGTTTCTTAGTTGTAACTTCATCGGGGGGGCTTTTCTTGAAGTGACTGAATATTTTCTTCCAAGAACATGACATTTTCTTTACCATCATATGGTTTTTCTTTAATGAAATCGAAATTCCAACGCCGCTCTTTTTCTTTCAGGATTTGGAATTCCTTGTCAGCTAACCATTCTAAATAGTGTGGTTAAACTTCCTCCTTTACTTCAATTAAATTATGATTAACCGGCATTACAAAAATTTTGATGAAGAAAAAACCTTTTTAATTTCGGGCATGCCTTTTTATTTTTTAAAAAAACTATTCATAACCATTTGGGCATTCCCTTAAAAAGGAATTTTAAACTTTGACGGCCCTTTACTTCACGCTCCCGACACGC